TTTCATCTCATGACCTGTCCCGATGACTTTAAAATCAGTATTGCTGAATCAGTGGCTTGGATTACAGAAATTGGAGATCTTCAATAGCATCTGAGAGCTTTCCAGGTCTGCACAAAGTCACTGAGAAGCAGATCAAAGTAGGAACAGTAGCTCGAGCAAGGTTCACAGACGGAAACATACCCAATGAAGTCATGACCGTTAAAAATGCTAATCCAGAGAGGGGGATGTCACTTGTACCGAACCAGGTGTTGAAGACTTCTGGGCTTGTAACACAGTCTTCAGCAGAGGACACCCAGATCATTCCTCACTTCGGTTTTCAAAGCCAGCGGTCCCCAAAGTGGGGTGTGCAAGACAATCCATCAGGATGCTAGAAGGAAATATTTATTTTCATTTTATTTATATATTGTCATTCAGAGATGGTATATTCTCAACAGCAAATGACTTCTTTACAATACATTGGAATGAGACGGGGAGCAACCATGAAAATCTCTCCTACCACATGGAGATTTGCTGCTTATCTCATGGCAAAGGGCTTAAAAGACCTGTCGAACTCAAAGGAGTTTTATTTGACAAAAAGACAAGCATTGCAAACTTGCTGATGACCAGCTGCTGTCAGTAGTATGCTACCTAGCAGATATTGTCCAAAAAATAAACACACTTAAGTTGCCCCTTCGAGGTGAATGGGCCATTTGAACGACGAGTGAGGAAGTAACTGCTTTTTGAAAGAAACGCATGCTATGGAGAGAGCATTTGCTAAAAACCCCAAAATGCAACATCTTCCAGTCAGTTTGCGAGCACAACTGGCTGACACCAGGGAAGATGGACATTTAACAGCCAAGAAAAACCTTTGCCTAAGCAGCGGGTGGATTGAAAAACAAGTATTGTGGTTTAATAAACGCAGCCAACGATGCACTTCTTCCATTTGCATCTACACATCTGTGTCAGGAATTTTTTTTCAGCAGTGAGAGTCATTAAAACCAAGTATCAGAATAAACTGGACTTAGAACCACCCCTTCGGATGGATTTATCACAATGTGCTAAACCAAGATTTTCAAAACTAATGAGGCGTAGGCAATCACAGAGCCCTCACTATAAAATATTGTTATTATTAATAGTATTTTTTTAGCAAGAGAAAAAGGGGGGTTGTACCATTAATAGAGTAAAATTTAAAAAATGTTTTCAAATATTGTTCATCTTTATCACCTACTTTTTTAATTTCTACTGTTTGTGTATGTCTTACAGGGTTCCTAATTAGTACAGGAGAACATACATATGATTTATAAATAAATAAGTACACATATTTGGGGGGGGGATATGCTCAAAAATTGTTTACTGATAGGAGCGTGCCATCAAAAAAATCTCTTAAATAGCAGACAGCAATGGTAAGATGGACCTTCCCTTCCCCTGCAAGACCCTCAGCCACAGTCCAGCTATTGCACTGATTGTCACAGAATCATTGAATCTGAATAGGTTGGAAAGACCTTTAAGATCGAGTCCAGCTGTAAGCCTAACACTGCCAAGTCCACCACTAAACCATGTCCCTAAGTGCCACATCCACACATCTTTGAAATACCTCCAGGGATGGTGACTCAACTGCTTCCCTGGGCAGCCTGTTCCAATGCTTGACAACCCTTTCGGTGGAGAAATTTTTCCTAACATCCAATGTAAACCGCCCCTGGCGCAACTTGAGGCCATTTCCTCTGGTCCTATCGCTTGTTACTTGGGAAAAGAGACCGACCCCCACCTCACTACACCCTCCGTTCAGGTAGTTGTAGAGAGTGATAAGGTCTCCCCTCAGCCTCCTTTTGTCCAGGCTGAACAACCCCAGTTCCCTCAGCTGCTCCTGACAGGACTTGTTCTCTAGACCCTTCATCAGCTTCATTGCTCTTCTTTGGACACGCTCCAGCTCTGTAGAGCCTTCCTACCCCCAAGCAGATCAACTCTCCTGCACAACTTGGTGTCATCTGCAAACTGACTGAGGGTGCACTCGATCCCCTTGTTCAGTTCACTGATAAAGATATTAAACAGAACTGGCCCCAATACTGAGCCCTGGGAAACACCACTTTTGACCGGCTGCCAACTGGATTTAACTCCATTCTCCACCACTCTTTGGGCTCGGCCATCCAGACAGTTTTTTACCCAGCGAAGAGCTCGCCTGTCCAAGCCATGAGCAGCCAGTTTCTCCAGGAGAATACTGTAGGAAACCACGTCAAGGACTTTACTAAAGTCTAGGTAGACAATATCCACAGCCTTTCCCTCATCCACTAAGCAGGTCACCTTGTCATAGAAGGAGATCAGGTTGGTCAAGCAGGACCTGCCTTTCACAAACCCATGCTGACTGGGCCTGATCACCTGATTGTCCTGTATGCACCACGTGATGGCACTCAACATGATCTGCTTCATAACCTTCCCCGGCACCGAGGTCAGGCTGAGAAGCCTGTAGTTCCCCGGATCCTCCTTCCAACCCTTCTTGTAGGTGGGTGTCACATTTGCTAACCTCCAGTCAACTGGGACCTCCCCATTTAGCCAGGACTGCTGATAAATGATGGAGAGTGGATCGGTGAGCTCTTCTGCCAGCTCCCTTGGTACCCTTGGGTGGATCCCATCTGGCCCCAGAGACCTCTGTGTGTGTGTCTAAGTGGTGTAGCAGGTCACTAACCAATTCCCCTTGGATTATGGAGGCTTCATTCTGCTCCCTGTCCCTGTTTTCCAGTTCAGGGGGCTGGGTACCCTGAGAACAACTGGTCTTACTATTAAAGACTGAGGCAAAGAAGGCATTAAGTACCTCAGCCTTTTCCTCATCCTTGGTCACTATGTTTCCCCCTGTATCCAGTGAAGGATGGAGATTCTCCTTAGCCCGCCTTTTTTTGTTAATGTATTTACAGAAACACTTTTTATTGTCTTTTACCACAGTAGTGAGATTAAGTTCTAGCTGGGCTTTGTCCCTTCTAATTTTCTCCCGATAACCTCACGACATCTTTGTAGTCCTCCTGAGTTGCCTGCTCCTTCTTCTAAAGATCATAATCTCTCTTTTTTTTTCCCTTGAGTTCCAGCCAAAGCTCTCTGTTCAGCCAGGCCGGTTTTCCTCCCCACCAGCTCGTCTTTTGACACATAAGGAAGGCCTGCTCCTGCATCTTGATGTCCAGCCTTTATGGACTCCTTTGCCCTGGGACTCTGTCAACCAGTCTCCTAAACAAGCCGAAGTCTGCCCTCCAGAAGTCCAAGGTAGCAGTTCCGCTGACTCCCCTTCTTAATTCTCCAAGAATCAAAAACTCTATCATTTCATGATCACTATGCCCGAGACGGCCTCCGACCATCATATCACCCACAAGTCCTCTGTTCGCAAACAACAGGTCCAGCTGGGCCCCTTCACTAGTTGGCTCACTCACCAATGGTGTCAGGAAGGTCTCTTCCACACATTCCAGGAACCTCTTTGACTGTTTCCTCTCTGCTGTATTGTATTTCCAGCAGACATCTGGTAAGGTGAAGTCCCCCATGAGAACGAGGGCTAACGATCATAAGACTTCTCCTAGCTGCTTATGGAATATTTCATCTGTCTCTTCATCCTGGTTGGGTGGTCTATAACAGACTCCCACTATGATATCTGCCTTATTGGCCTTTCCCCCAATTCTTACCCATAAACACTCAACCCTTTCATCACCGTCATCAAGCTCTAGATAGTCAAAACAGTCTCAGCTGCTGGTGCTGGAAGGGGCCTCTCCAACAACCCCAGTCACACAAACCTGCTCATTTCTGCATGCCCGTGGGCAGATTACTTCATTAAACATGAGCCTGATCTAGGAGCCACTCCTCTGAGTGAGCATACGAGCTGGGAAGCTCTTCGGGGCCAGCTCTGCCTCCTTTCCCAGCAAACCTCCACAAGGCAAGAGACCATCCCAGGACATCCCTCGATGCGCCGGGTCTGCTTCATGTCACCCCATGCAAAGGTCCTTTGGAGCACGTGGCATTAGTTCAGCACAGAGGGACACACGGGCGCGCTCCATAGTTCTGTGCGTGTCCAGCATATTTATACATATAAATAAATACCAGCATATTTACCCACCAGTCGGTACCGCATCCATCTGCATCCTTGCAATGAATGGTACAACTGCCGTTTCGGGTCATTTACAGCGAGTATCTGATCTCAACTTGTGAAATAAGCCAGCTAATGAAGTCTTCTCCAGACATCCATTAAGAGTCTATAATGCTAATTTTATGTAAAAATCTAGTAAGTTTCCTCATTGAATTAACATTACAGACATGTAGCGGACTTTTACACCCACTCTGGTGGCAGCAAGAGCACTCCAGGCATCTCCCCGGGGAGCAGTGCACTGGGAGAGCAAAGCAAGGCAAGGCTGAGCATGGCTGCCTGCTCCCCAGCTTCTGTCCCCTCTCCCCCAGGTGACAGGGGACACCTGCCCTCCAGTTTGGCAGATCTGCACATCCCATCACACCGTAAAACACATGGGACAGCTGCTTTGCAGCAGGCTGATTTATAAAGCAGCATTCACAAGCCACCAGTGCCCTTGGAAGATGAAAGCAGGAAATGCCCCGTGCCTCAGTTTCCCCTTTGTAAAAGGAGGATAAAACTCAGTTATTTATGATGACAAGGTTATACTCGTCATTAACCTTGTATCTCCCTGGGGCATCCACAAAGATTATGGTACGGTAAAGCAACACCAACACAACACCAACGCAACAAAGCCAGGCTGGTTTGCTGCTGAACGCATTTTTGGCTCCAGCTGGCCAGTCCTGTGCTTACGGGGGATAAATCCTGGGTGCTGCAGCCAGTCCTGTCTCCCCTCGCAGAGGAGAAGGAGCCAAGTGAGCACGGCAGAGGCCGTAGTGCTGCCAAGGCGGTGGGGACAGAGCAGGACAAGGCCAACTGCGGGGCCGGCGTGGTCCCCAGGGCGGCAGCACTCACCCAGGCAGAGTTGGACTGGTTGAGCTGGTTGAGCATGACGATGGAGGTGCAGCCGTAGTCGTACACCAACCGCCAGAAGTCGGTGGTGGTGTTCTGCAGCGGGTGCAGGGTGACGATGAAGGCAGCGCTCTTGGTGTAGCTCTGCAGAGAGGGAAGACAAGCGTCATTAAGGACATGGTGGCGGCGCTGAAGCCACTGCTGTCACACCCTGAAAAACCAAAGCAACCAGAAGGTGAGTGCCACCAAAGCCATCTTATCCAGAGCTGGCGCCCCTGGCACGGCCTCGGTCCCTCCATGCACTGGTGCTGGGGACATGCTATAAAAACAGGTCTCAGTGATCCCTGCCCTTGGTGGGGATGAAAGCACCCGCTTTCTGCTCTCAGCTCTCGCAGGGAAGGGTGTTTCACAAAAATAACTGGGGAAAACAGTCACCTTTGAGCCAAGAACAAGCAGAAGCTGTGCCTGCCAGATGGTCCCAGCCCTCAGCTCTGCACCCCAGTCCTGAGCAAAAGCGTCACCCACAGCATCACCCCCACAGTACCCCAACACCTCTGGGCACTGAGAGCAGCAGAGAGGCATCGGGCTCAATGGTCTTTAGGGGCAGGAAAGGAAACCCAAATGAAAGGCCCCTAGAGACTGCAAGAAGGAGGGGGGAAAAAAATTGGTTGTACTTCTCATTCACTCTTCAAACAAGATTTGTCCCCTTGGTCATCCTGATGCCAGCTTGCCAAGGGAAGGGGAGCCCATGGCCGGGCTCGGCACTGCATTAATCAGACTTTTAAATCAACACACTTTAGCTCAAGCCTCCTCAGATACATGAACAGAGCAGAAGATGTTCTTTGCCCACGAATTAGCACAGCTCTCCACTAACGGGGAGTCCTCTGGCTGCTGCAAAACCTCCTCATTTAGCTCATGGCAAAGCTTTTATTGAACCTTTCCCCTGTCCTGTCCATGGGGTGGCAGTGAGATCCCCAGCTCTCAGTGAGACCTTTCTGCCCTCGAGGAGGGCGACGACAGCAACAAGGTGAGGGAGATTTCATCAGGTGTTGACCAGGCTTGCCTTGGCACCCACAATCCTTTGGCACCGGTGTAAATGACGGCAGCCGGCACAGAGCAGAGCGCGGCTCTGCCAGCCTGCTGCCAGCACCAGCACAGAGCTCAGCGCCGGTGATGGGCAGCACAGACCAATCTAATCTGACAGATGGACAGACTGAACTGAGCAAACCACTTTGGCACTTAAAGAAAATGAGACTTTTTTTTTTTTTCCCCAAATAGGGAAATGGGTTTTATCCCTTCAGCGAGAATTTCATCCAAAGGGCTTTTTCTATCTATAAAAAAAATTTTATTCTCTGACCCTGTAGCAGAGATTAAGGGAGGCTCAGTGATGTATAAAAATTAAATGGATATGCAAACACCAAACAAGCTGAAAACAAAGCTCCCATCCCACAGTAGCCAAAGCCTGCAGCCCAATGGGTGCTGCTCTCCAGCCACCAGCAGGCACCTCCACTTTACAGACTGCTTTTTGCTGTGAGAGCAGGTATCAGGGAGATGAGATCTGCACAAAGATGCGCTGTGATAAATCACCCGTGGGGTGAAAAATGCAGGGCTCAGCCTGCTGCCAGTGCTCAGCTGTGACCAGGAGGGTTCGGGGAAGGTGCCTGGGGTGCAGCAGGGCTCAGCACTGCCCGTGCAAAGCACCCTAGCTCGTTTCAGGTAGAAGAAAGTGGTTTTGGTGATAAATGACCCAATCACTCGGTGCGGGCTTGGAGCCTGTGCATTCCTCTCTGCTCTGCTTTACGGTCATTAGCAGGTAAGAAATAGCTTTGCTGTTATGGGTGTCCTTTCTGACTGCACTGGGGGGATGCACGGCAGCTCTGGGAGCAGTTCAGAGCCCCCTGAATTCCACCAGAAGGATGGGCAGGAGGATGCACAGCAGGGGCTCAATGCTACCAACCAACCCTTCCCAGAGCTTCCTCTCCCTCCTGTGCTCCATTTTGCTAGGAAATAAAGGAAGATCCTTTGTGTGCAGCTTGCAAGAGCAGGCAAAAAGCTCTTTCAAGACAAGCAAGATGCGGCTACACAAAAGAAGGGGTGAAAGACCCTGCTACGCTGGTGCCAGCCCTTCCTCCCCCCACACACAACTGCCACGTGCGTTCATGCCCTTGTGCAAAATGAGGCCATAAATTCAAACGGAGCGAGGTTTTGCCTTTAAAAGCTGCCCGAGACAACCTGAACCGGCCCCCTCCCTCCCCGCAGCACGCTCACATCAGTTAAGGCCGCGTTGATGTAGTTGTTGCTGTCTCCGTCCACGGAGATGAGGAAGGGAAGGCATCGGTCGGGCGGCAGGACGTCCATGCTGCGGTTCCTCTCCCGGTTGCGGGGCAGGAGGGCGATGCTGCACTCCTCCACGTCCAGGTGGGGAGTCACGGAGTTCAGGGTCTGCAAGTACACGTGCTCCCTTTAGCTCCTTTCCTGCCTACACCGGCGCCAAAACCCCTGGCTACTGCTCGTCAGAGCCTGCTGGTCCCCAGGAGGGTGAGGAGCAATGGGGTGTTGCAGGGAGGGGACGCAGAGGTTTTGGGGCCACTCACCTGGAACTCCTCCCGCAGCTGCGAGGAGTTGCTCTGCGGCTCTATCCTCACCATCTCCTTGTAGGTGGGCTTGAACTCACTGGCAGGGATGCTGGTCTCCCCACACAGGCAGGCTTCCAGGATGGCGTCATGGATGAAGACGTACTGCTCCTTTCGGGGGGGAGGAAAGGGGAAAGGGCTGAGCCTCTGCAACCTGCTGGCGACAGCAGCCCCACGTGTCCCCAGCTGTCCCCAATGCCCACTCACCTCCGTTTGTATCATGTTGATCCTCCGCGAGCACAGGGTCTTCACACAGTTGTAGATGTCCACAACGCCCTCGCACTCAGCCATGTCCAACATAACGTCCAGGACGATGTAGCAGCCAGTTCTCCCCGTGCCCGCACTGGGGATGGAGGAAGAAAACACAGCAAACACATTCCCAGTCTGCACAGCATCCACATGCAGCCCGAGACGCCAGCAGGCACAGAGCAAGGGCTGTGTGGGTGAGGGCTTGACATACGGTCCCTGCCCGTGAATGTGGGGGCAGCCGGGGTCCAGGCAGGGCTGCCAGGACCTTGCACACCTCAATAACCACAGCCCAGTTTTGCCTTAAACCACCCACCCTACCACCCACCCAAACACACCACTGCAGCAGCCTGGGGGCTGTGTGATGGTCAGGCTGCAGGTGGGAGGGTGGGCACCCATCTCTAAGGTTCATTTTTACTTTAAGATAGCAAAACACATGCTTTTTGCAACAAAACGGGCAGCTAAACCATCTGAGTGCAGACAGTCCTCTGGGATCCCATCCCAAAAGGGCAGAGAAGGATGCTCAGCACCAAGCCCTGAGAGCGCAGGGAGGTACCCCTGACACAGAGTGGGTCTGAGTTCCCCCAGGGGAGACCCTTGGGTCAAGGCTCAGCCCAGCAGGATGCCTGGAACCAGACGCCCCAGCAGCGGTGATATCCCAAATCCTGGCATGGTTGGACTCACAGCCAAAGATCTACTGATGCTGCGACCCCTCCGCGACACGTCGGGAACAGAACCGCTTCCCCCTGCTCCTTTCCTACAAAGTCTTTTCCAGTGAAATACTAATTTCTGGGGCTGATGAATCACTCGCCGTCATTATCAGTGATTACAGGCTACGGGTACTAATCACACTCACTGTTGCCAGTGAATGAATACTGATGAGGCAATTGACAGGAAGAAATCAAATACAAAAAAATCCCTCCTACTCATCAGCTCCTCCTTGTTTGCCCAGCACTCTGGGCCATTAACCCATCCTGTGGGGATGCCTGCTCAGGGGACAGAAAGCCACCACTCCTGCTGAGATATGCCACCAGTCTCATCCCTGTGGGGACAGCACTGTGGGTACCCTGGGAATGGGGCTGTCCTGTTCGGGCCCCCCACCCAAACCCTCTCCCTTAGGGCCAGACCCAACATCGTGACATTGCCGTTGGCAGCAGTTGAGCTGCCCGTCCCCCCATGCCACCCTCGCCCAGAGGGACAGAGCTGTGTCATCAATAACGGCTGCTGGGGCAGCCCCCAAAATGTGTTGCTCCCTCCTGTCCCCCTGGACCACCTGCAGCCCCCCCATCCCTGCTGCCACCAGCTCAGTGGTGACATTGTACAGCTGGATGCCATCGTAGAGAGACATTCAACCCCACGCCATCAGCCCCAGTGCCTTCCCCGCCTCAGCCATTCCTCGTTACAAACCCAATTTATACGCTGAGTATTTTAGCATCATTCGGAGCTTTTAGCATCATTCAGAGCCAGAGGCTGAGCACCCGCCTAAGACACAGCGTGCTGCCTCCCGGGGCCATCCATACCCCCCAAACCCCATCCCGGAGGGGGATGCTCCCCCCACAGCCGGCTCTGCCCCACAGCCACACATGTACCTGCAGTGGATGACGATGGGGCCAGCATCGGGCGGTGTGGATGCCTTCACCCTGCGGATGAAGGCCAGCAGCCCTGTGGCGTGGTAGGGGACGCCGTGCTCGGGCCACGACGTGAAATGGAACTGCTTCACCTCATGACGGGCTGAGTAGCCCCGCTGCAAGGGAAGAGCAAGATGGAGCGAGGCTGCATGGGGAGGGCAAAGCCACCCAAATACCTAATTTTATTGGGATCCATGATTTTTGCCAGCTCAGCATCCAGCCAGATGGACCACACAGCAGTTGGCCGCTTCGACAGCCCCACAGCTCCCTCCTCCACAGCTGCAAGAGGGTGAAAAACCAGCCGAGGAGGAAGAGAACGTGGCAGCAGCAGCCATGGGTCATGAGCATCTTTGCTACCTGCCCTATAACTAAACAGTAATTTCACATTCCTGTAGATTAAGGGGTAAATCGCACCGGCTCCATCCCCAGGTACCATGCTGGAGAGTAATGGCCACATAACCTGCGCTTCAGCCCGGAGGAGAAAAAGCATCCTTCACCTCTGTCGCAATTACACGGTGCTTGCACGGAAATTAAATACTCGCTCACTGCCGAAACCAAAGCAGGGCTGAGCCGCTCGCCCCAGCGGAGGGCACAGAGCTGGGGAAAAGGCAAAGGAAGAAGCTACCAGCATCCCCAGGATTCAGAAGTTGCACCTCAACTGGAGGTGAAAGCCCCATGTTGGGGTAAATAAATAGGCTATTGATAAATGCCAATCTAGTGATGGTTAGAGATGCCCAAGGTGGTCGGTTCTCTCCCTGTGAGGGCAGGGTCGGGGAGGTCGCAGCTGGCAAGAGCAGGACCATACCCTCTCGAGAGCGAAGGTGCGGACAGCATACTCTGCCAACGTCTCCGACTTCACCAGGGTGATCTTGATGTCCCCATACATCTCGGAGTCATCTGGCCAGTATTTGGAGCATTTCACCTGGAAGGAGAGGATGGGATGGGGTTTTGGCTCTGCGGAGGAGGCTTCTGGCAGAGCCAGAGCACAGAGGAAGAGGGACGGGATGGGGTCCTTACCCGGCCCACCTCCACCAGTTTGGTTATCATCACGATGCTGGAACAGTGCTCCTGCCACACCATGCGCCAGAAGTCATACACCATCTCCTGCTTGGGCCCTGCGGGATGGAGGAAAGGCCACTGAGGATGGACGGACAGCACCAGTGGAACCGAGCCATGGCAGCACCGCGATGCCACTGCGTTTCCCTTCCTACCTCTGTGGCACTAACACCCCCACAGCATTTTAAGCACCCTTTTCCCCCAGGAACGTGCGGTGCCATGGGGCAGCAGGAGGGGTGGGAGCTGATCCACATTGCTACCACCTCATTTGTCCCCAGATTGGCCCAATTCCCTCCCCTTCTTGCCCACGCAAGGATAAATCCTACCGGGGATGAAACCTGGCTACTAAATCTGGAGCTGCTGAGCCACTGGCCGAGAGGGCAGGGAAAGGAGGCGACTCACCTTGTGTGGCTATGAAGTGGTTGGACCTGTGGTAGCCCTGCAAAGGAAGCAGAGATGTCAGTCCCAAGTGAGGGGGACACATTGGGGCACAGCCCCGTAAAACATTTCCCAGTCACCCAAGTGGTGGCAACTGTCCAGGTCCACTGGGCCAGGTCCTGGTCACCGGTGTGGTGCTACCCACTGCTGCAGGAGGAGGTTCAGGAGCCACCCTGCACCCAGTGCACCCTGTCCTGGGGGGGTGCATGTCCCACATCCCACAGAAAGCTCATGTAACCCCCAACGCTTATGCCTGTTCTGCATCAAAATCCCCAGCAGCACCCCACAGGCATCCTGGGGTCCAACAGCTCGACCCCAGCTCCAGCTGCCACCACCAGCATCGCTGTCGAGCATGGAAACCCTGCTGCGAGAGTGCTTTTAATGATATCCCATCCCACAGCAGCCACATGATGTGGGTGATGGCCCTGCTCCCTTCCTTCATCCCAGCACCTTACTAGGGCCATTCCCAACTCTTAACAGGGACGTGCCAGCCCAAAGAGCATGTCCCAGCGAGGCCACTGCCAAAGGGACCAGGGACCCAGTGTCCCACCCCTTAGCCATGGGTCCAGCAGAGTTCAACCACGTCACATGCATGGAGGTGATGGCAGCTTCTCCATCCACCATAGGTCCTTTCACGGGGGATTTTTGTGGGTTGAATTAAACCCCTCCTCCAAGCACACGGGCCCTGGTCCCCATCACCCTGGGGAGGACGTGCCACGGAGACCTCACTTTCCCCTTCCCTGGACCGTATCCAAGTTTATCCACACATTTTCCCAGCCTGCCTCTCCCAAACACTATTTAATGCCACGCTGCCCAGTACGATGCCTGGGACAAGATGGGAGCAGAGAGAAGGGAGGAGAGAGGAACCATCTACTTACTTCTCGGTTAATCCGAATCTTAATGATCCCGTTGGGACACAGGTTTGAGAGAAAAAGATCAGAGACAGAGACATTAGTGAGGCACAGCTCAAGAGACAGGTTAGAGCACCAGCCCCAGAGAGGGTCATGGAGAGCCACAGGGGAGAAAAGACACATGGGGACAGGGGACAGGCATGTGGATGCTGCTCAGGCACAGGGAACCCATCACGGTGTCATCAGGCCACCGTTGACAGGCGATGTCCTCTGGGCAGGAGGGAAGAGTGGGATTTGCTGCTGCTTCCAGGAGATGCTCGAGCCCTGTACCCAACAGAGCCTTCCTGCACCTCCCCTGCTCTCGGCATCGCTGGAGGTAATCAGGGGAACCATCACTCCTGGGGGACATCACTCTCCGAGGACACCAGGGCTGAGCTCTGCCCAGACCCACATGCACTGCCAGTATCAGGGGGTATCCCAGTGTGAGCCTCCAGCTGGTCCCTTGGCCCCCTCAACCTCTGCATGCTCTACTCAGGGAGGAGGGAGATCCATGGCCACGAGAGCAGGCAAGGGGAGAAGAAAGGATGGAAAAGGGGAGGAGAGAGGGAATGAGAAAAGAAGGACAGAGCGGAGCAGAGAAGGGAGAGACACAGCAAGCAGAAATTGCTGATGAGCATAAATAAATCAGGCAGGCTCTTCATGGCGTGTCTCAGGGATGCACGGATCAGCCCATCCTGGGCTGTCTAAGCTCCTCCAAGCGCTGCTGGACAGACCCTGACAGTCCACAGGATGCTCCTGTTCCAGCCCAGACCCCCCACGGAGACAGGCACCGTCCCCACTTACATCGATGTAGTTGGCGTTGATGTAATCTGAGTTGGGATCACCCAGCAGCGGGTGCAGCTTCACTCGGTGACGGTCATCTGGAGAGCAAGTGGAGAAGGGACTATCAGGGCCTGGGGTGGGTAAGCACGGGGATGGTGCATCACCCAACAGGTCCCAGGGCTCCCAGGCACCCTTTGCAATCATTTTGCACTGGGAATCTGCAAAATGCAGGCAGGTGGGACATATTCAGGAGCAATAAATATAAGCTGGTGGAGGTCTTTCCAAAGATGGTGGTTTAGACCAGCAGGGATGCAGGCGAGCAGCTTTCAGCATGGCATCCCCCTGAACTGTACCCAGTCCTGCCAAAGACAGAGGGCACCTACCCTCCAGCACCCTGCTGCCCACCCTGGAAGGGCACCAGGATGGCCAGAGCCCAGAGAGGTGAGTGGAAAGCTCTGTCCAACCTTTGGTGTCCACCTGGGGCCCCAGATAATGCTGGAGTAGAAGGGATGAAGCTGCGCACAAAGGACGTGGAAGGCGGAGAGCACCAGAGCTCCTGAAGCACCAGGCTTGGTGTCTCCATCCCTGCAGGAACGTCAGAGGAGATGCAGCAGGGAGCAAGGTGGCCATGCCACGCTGACTGGAGGGAGCTGGTGAGGAGCATCCTGTCTCTGGTGGGGTCAAGCCCTTCCCCAATCTTCTGTCCTAAAAACTCATTATTTAACCCCTTTGTCTCATCCTGCATGTCCACATGAGAAGCTCCCTAGGGAAGGGCTGCATTTTCTCATAGGTCCATTCAAGAAAACACACTCCAGGTTATCCGGGGCCTTCCAGCACCACCCTGAATATCATGGTGATGTTATCACCCCAAGATGCCCCATCCTCAAGAGTTATCCAGCTCCTCCAGCACTCTCCAGCACCAGTTCTGGTGTCTGATGTCCAACAGGAGCTCTCAGGATGGGACCCCCACACTGAGCAAGGGCCTTTCTTCTGCCCTTGACCAACCAAACCCCATCAGTTTATTCCTTGCCATGGACCGCACACCTACCAAAAAAAGCCCCCAAAGCCCTTTAGAAGGTTTTTCAAGCTGTTCTGGGTGTCTAAGCCTTTGCTAAAGGCACTTACATGTTGACACGTGATCCTGTCTCCCTTTGGTCTTGTCTTTCTTCTTCGAAGCATCCCAGCCTTCAAAGAAACTCTGTAAGGGAAGGATGGCCATCACGACCCGAGGGCAGGTCTGTGGGGTCCCCCCCAGCCCCACAACCTCACTAGGGAGCAGGGCAGGCAGGTTGGTCCCTCCACCCCAACACCTGGGTCTTGCAGCCCCAGCTCCATCTCCATAGCACGCTCTGCCAGCTACACACTTCTGTTTCATCCACAAAATGCCCCATTTTCCAGCAAATTATAGACTGCCTGGTTTTTTTCCAGGGTTGGTTGTGGGGTTTTTTTTCTAAAACTCCCTAGTCCCTTTCTCTCCCCAGCACAGAATAGGTTTGTGTGTAATAACAGTAACATTCATAGATTGGCGTAAGAGGAGGAAAGTGGAAGGAAATTACATGTTTTCTCCCCTCCCATAATATCTGAGTGCTTTCAAATGACTAGTTCCAAGAACATACAGCAGCTTTTCAAGGAGCACTAATGATTATAGCAAGCCCTGGTTTGTCCAATACATGAAAGGGGGGGGGGGGACCACTCCCGCACTTGAAACAACTAAGCATTAAACAGTAATTTCACTGGGAAATTTCAATCACCAGACCTGTGGGACACCAAGTCGTTGGGAAATTAACCCCACTGGGTGCACTGCAGCAGAGGCGTGCGGAATAGTGCGCTCCGTTACAAACACTCCAGCCCAACGAGGTGGGATGGGCATGATGCGGCCAACGACCCTTGGGGGGGGACTTCCCTCCCCTTGGGATCACCCTTTCCAGCATCCTCTCCCTTGGGTTCCACGGTCTTGGGAACTGCCAGATTGCAGAGGATTTGCTTGTCCATGCTTATCACAGGACAAGCACGTTGGAGAGCAGAACACGACAGCATCGTGCCCAGGAGGACCTGAGAAAGGGAGAAGCATTCCCAGCCCCTGCGGGAAAGGTGGGAGGACGCACTGCGGACAAGGGAGGTGCAGGCTGGCGGGCAGAGCTGGTCTGGCTCATCTCAGGGAGCTGTTCAAGATGACGATTAAATCCTGAGCTGTCGGGACCAGAGGTTTGATCCAGACCCAGGGACGCCCCTCCTGCTGTCCAGAGCACTGCAGGTTCAGGTCTGGAGCATCTTCTCCTTGCACACGGGTCCTACCCATGCCACCTCGTCCATCCTACCTCCTGTCCTCCCTGCGACGCCAGCACAAGCCACTCTCACCTCGTACTCCTGCTTGAAGCCGTAGCCTTCTGCCGTCTTCATCTGGTTGATATGCTGGAGGAGATCCGCCACCCGCACGGCAGGATGGAGCTGCCCGGTGTGATACGGGGACCCTTTGCGGCCGCACTGGCGGCGGGGGGAGCCCCCCAGCAGGCTGCTGGACTCATTGACCACGCTGCTGCGCTGGTCGCCTGCAGAAGGGGAGGGAGAACCAGGGCTGTCAGGGGAGCAAAGCCTTGGACCGCATCCCCATCACCTCCTCGCACCCACGGAGGGATGAGAGGGCACCTGGAAACATCCGCGGGAGATGCTGTTGCTGCAGCCGGTCTCTCTCTGGGGACCACAAGCAGTCCAGACCCACCCTGCGCTCTCTGCAGCTCTTCCTACACCGCAAAGCTGAAAATGCCCACTGCAGCCTTTTAGGACCACAGCAGATCTCTTGGAAATCAGTGCGCAAGATCTCAAGGGGGTTAATGAGCTTATTTCCCATCGATTGGAGCAATTAACTCCCATGCAGACAAGTAAGAGCTACGTGCCCAAATATTCACACAAAGTCCTGACTCAAAAAAATCACATTGCCAAAGTCTCCAGCCCAGCTTAACAGTTAATTTCCCTCGCTGCTAGATACCGGCGCCTTATTCCTAGCAATGACACAAATGGAGCTTGCTGCTGTTTAATGGGGGAGTTTATGCAGTATTTACCTGGTTTATGCCTTTGCTGTGTAATTACCAGCAGAGCCAGACTAAGACCTTGCCTGCATTTGTCAGGGCAAGGTCCCACACCGGGTCCTGAAATCTGGGTTTGCACAAAACCCAATGCTCTCTGCTACTGCCAAGAGATGTGGCAGGCACGGATCCTGCAGCAGCAGGCACGGATCCTGCAGCACCCTGGAACGCCGTCTACACACTGCTGGGAAGCAGCTTTGCAAGACAGTGCATCCTGGACGCGGTTTCCCCTAACAACACTTCTAAAAACCACCCTTGCCATCTCGCTCACAAAGCTCCCAGGCTTGTTTTTGTGGTCTGCTCGAATGCAAGGAGCAGCCCCTCACCCCCCCTGCCTGCACTTCCCGGCTGCCGCGGGTGCAGCGTGGGTGCAATATGTGTGCAACACGGGTGCAGCACATGCAGAGAGAGGGTCTCCATCGGGCATTGCAGCCCCCAAGGAGACGATGCTCCAACCTTTTTGCAACCAGAACAATCTCCCTTTCAGGCTGCCAACATGTGGTTGAACCAATGGGACAACACAGGAGGGCCACATTACACCCTATGGCACAGCTGACAGGCGTGCCGGCCACTGGGTTTAATGAGAAATTAATTGCAGGCGTTTGCGAGGTGCCAACAGCTCCGCACAGCCACACGCTGAGGACCTGCTCGGCTTCCTGTGAGAAGGATTAATGACTTTTTTTTAAATGCAAAGGAAACTGAGGTATGGTGGGGAACAGCCCCCAGCCAGTCATGGAGCAGCCTGTTCATCTACCTTCGTTAATTAATGATGCTTGTAGGCAGGGGGTGGCCACAGCTGTCCCCAGCTGTGCCAGACAGCCCGAGCTCCTCACATCTCCTCCTCCACCCTCCACCAAGCAGAGGAATGAGGAGCAGCCAGCAGCAGAGCAAGCAAGCAGGTGGGAGCAGGATCCGGCCCCACAGCCCCCTTCTCTAAAGAAACCAAGGACCAGCAGCCCCAGCTTAGCCCACGCAGAGACCCACCAGCCTTTGAGCTTTGCGAGGACAGTAACCGAAAAATAATACACCTAGCTAGATGTATTAAGAGGAGGGAAAGTTTGCCCTCTGGGGTTCTATTATCCATGAGACAATGCCAGGAAGCGTATTAATCCCGCAGCCGGTGGAGAAGAGCCGTGTGTAAGCAGCATCTTGAAGTTACTGTAACAGATGTTATTAGCATATGGTTGAAACTGGGGCATCTAACGAGTTATTTTACAACTAAATCAGCACGGAGATGCATACTCCAGTGGGTGTTAAATTATCAGTCTCCCTCTGATGTGAACGCAGTGGCTCTTTAACCCTTCGAAGCCCAGGGCAATGCAGAACACCGCGGAGCAGAGCCATGCCGGGTGTGCTGGGTGAAGGCTGGTGAAAAGCTTTCAACGTCAGCGTAAGGGAAGAGTTGGGGTTCACACAGCTTCGGGGGGCTGCAGCCAGTGTGTGAGCCCACAAATGGCCTCAACCCTCCCAGCCACAAGCTCAGATCTCTGCTTCGAGAGGTTTTGATGCAGAGACCCAGCTCAAGCCACCCACAAGTGTTTTTCCTTCAGCAAAGCCTGGATGATAATAAAAGCTACTACAGACACCAATTAGATCGATGCCCTTGGAGGTTTACACAGGACAAGGAAAAGCCTGCAACGTGCTACGCACATTGGGCTAAAATAGATGCAATACCCGCTGCTGAGCCTTAGATAAATATTTCAGCTGTTTCCAGGATATTTAGGGATTATCGGGGACCCTTGCTGCAGCTGGACTGGAGTGGGGAGGATGCTGCGGTTCCCCATCCTTACCTCGGTTGCCGTAGTTGTGGGTGTCCATGAAGGAGAGCCCCAGGCGCTCGTCCTCCTGCAGCGTGCTCTGGTCGGTGAAGCTCCTGTCGATGGCACTCATCATGTGAGTCTTCTCATGACGGTAGTTAATGGTCGCTTTGGTCATGTTGACAGGTTTTCTGCAGGGGGAGGCAAAGGGGAGGAGGGGGAAGAAGTGCACACAAGCAGGGCTGACCCAACGGTGCCGTAAGATTCCCCCAAAGCTACCGGGCTCGGATTATTTCAGGGAGCAGGACAGATATTTCCACCAGCGGTCAGCACACTTTGCTCTCCTCGTGCTCCAAGCCAGTCACAGCCCCACAAGGATCATCCCTCGCTGGCTGCAGCAACTCCAGCTGCTCATCCTCAATGTCCCCTCCTCTCCCCTCCTCTAAATGCCCAATGGCTGGAACAGCCGGGAGCACTCCTTGCGCAAGTGAAGGCTTTCCCCAGCCAGCTGGCATTGCACAGGAGAGCCCCAGCTCTCCCCCAGCCCTGTTTCTCCAGGCGTTACCCACCCATCACCCCACACCACTCCACTGCGACATGGACCATCCAACACACCAAGTGCATCACTGTGCTGCAAGAAGTAGAAGGAGGACAAGGACCTGTTGGAGTGGGTCCAGAGGAGACCACAAAAATGATCAGAGGGCTGGAGCACTTCTCCTGTGAGAAAAGGCTGAGAGAGTTGGGCTTGTTCAGTCTGGAGAAGAGAAGGCTCCAGGGAGACCTTATTGCTGCTTTTCAGTACTTAAAGGGGATTTATACAACAGATGGAGATACTCTTTCATAGGCCCTGTAGCTATAGGGCAAGGGGTAATGGTTTAAAACTAGAGGAGGGGAGATTTAGACTAGATATAGGGAAGAAATTTTTTACGACAAGGGTGGTGAGACACTGGAACAGGTTGCCCAGAGAGGTGCTAGATTCCCCATCCCTGGAAATGTTCAAGGTCAGACTGGACGGGGCTCTGAGCAACTGATCTAGTTGGAGATGTCCCTGCTCATCGCAGGGGGGTTGGACTAGATGACCTTTAAAGGTCCCTTCCAACCCAAAACATTCTATGATTCTAAAACCACCCCAAGGGGCCAAATCCATCCCAAGGGATGGGCTGGACCCCCTGACTGCACGTGTGCTCAGCACCCACTGGGGAAGCTTTTTCTACCCCCATGCAAGGTCCCCATTAGGCACCTAACAAAGATGCTGGGAAAGTCCAGGAGCTCTCACTGGAACAGAACCTCACACCCCAGATTTGAGACATTTAGACAAAAAAACCTGATTGAGTGGTTTTGAGCAGCAGTGTCAAGGCTCCCAAGAAGCCAGAGCAGGGATTAAACCAGGGAAGGATGCACAGGAGATCTGAGCCCATGTCGGCATCTTGGTGGGGCCGGGACACTGCAAGATGCTGCCAAAATTCAGAATTCAACCTGGAGTCGCTGACCCTTCCCCTTTATGCTGCTTTCAGTCTCTAACGAGCTCGGCAGCATTATTTTCCCCGAGTCAAAGAGGCCCTTAAAATGTACTCAGCAGAGAAAAGGACTTCTTGGAGCAGCAGGGCAAGGGGGGCAGCCGGAACGAAGGGCAAAGGAGAGAGAGAATGACAATTACTTACGGGTAATAGGAATAAGAATAGTAGTTCCTCCTGGCAAGCGTGCAAACAAAGAGAACGGCAGAAATTGCATAAGCAGCTTTTCTCCAGCATAGGGAAGGGGGGTTACAGGGCAACTCAGCTGCCAGAAAATTAAATGCACCGTAAAGAAACCTGGCTCCCCTTCTGCATCTGTAGGTTATTTACTCCAGACAGGAGCCAGCATCCCAGCAGCAGAGCCCAAGCACCGGCTCGCAGGGTGACTATGATCCCCGCACTGGCGGCGCGGTGTCCACAGTACCCTTGTCCAAGGGGTTATTCCACTATTTTTAAGACTGAACAGCAAATGTGTCCAAAATGTAGGGCATCCCCCGGGGAGCCAGTTAGGGGCCAGGCAACCCCTGCAGGAGAGATGGGCTTGGGACGTTGCGCTTCCAGCTCACTGTTTATTAGGGGCGAGTATATTCCGGGTGTACATTCCCATTCCACCACATCAGTGTTTTTCCAACAGCAAAACACTCCGGAGGAGATTTATGAGTTCGTCCCAGCTTCCCAACAGCCCCAAATTCAGGGCAGTCAGCACCGGGTCTGATTTGTGGCCCTGGTTTGTCCTTCAACAGGTTCACCCTGGGATGCTGAAGCAAAGCTGCTCCTCCTCCTCCTGCCCCGCAGCATTGGCAATACAGCAGTCGCACTCGTGGCTTCCTACCCACAGCATCACTCCCGAAAACACATCGACACTGCTGGCATTTGTTCCATCAGGGACAGATCCGATGCCATATGCACGTGCATCAGCCCAGAGCAACAGCAGGCGGGGAGCCACGAGCCAGTCCTGCACCCCTCACAGTGTACAGGAATACTACAGCCTTGCTTTTCCAGCTGGTGTAAATCAGCAAGAATCTTTTCAGGGCAAACGAAGCCATAAAGAGCTTTGCAGATTTACATGGGCTGAGGTTGTGCCCTGCTATTTTTCTCTCCCCCCTGGCTGTTAACGTACTTTCCTCCCATCATCCCGAGCCCTGCACGGGGAAGACGTTTAATTGCTGCCCTTTCTCTCCTGCTTTGAGAGGCCCCCCCGGCTCAGCGCCCGCCTCGAGCCCCATACAGTAAGAAGCCGCTTTCCAGGGAGCTGCACCCAAGCGAAAAGCAGCGGCCACAGCCCCAGTGCTCCCGGGGATGAGTGTCCCGAAAAGCCCTCGCGCTCCTCCCTCCCACCCCACCGTGATGGCCATGGCCGCATCCACGCCGGCTGCGCTCGGCTCACCAGAAAGCAGGGACCCCAGTGTGGGTGGGAGAGCAGTTTGGGGGTCCCCAGGGACCACCAGCCCTGGGAAAACCTCCCCTCCCGCGTGCACCCAAATTTTAATGACTCAGAGCCAGCTGAAGTCTCTCAGCCAAGAATCGCTCACATTTCATCAGAAGCTCAGTGGTTCCCCATTAAAACAAGCCCAGGAGGATGCAGGATGGTCTGAGCACCGGCATCCCAGGATGGGCAGCCATGGGCAGCCCCCTGCCCGGCTCCAGAGGAAGGGGGGATGCTGCCCTCCCAATGGTCTCGAGAAACCAGAGCCCAGGACAAGAGCCAGAGTCTGCCTGGGTATTTCAGCATGACACACCACACTGCTTTCCAGGCAAAAGCCATGGATAGAGGTTTTTTTCCAGCCATCACCCCAGAAGTGAGCACCCCTGGGGCTCTGCTCCCCCTGGGTGCTGGGTGCTAACCTGCCATCTCAGGGGGGCTCGGCAGAGGGGCGATAGCGAAAATGCCTTCCCCTCCTCCCCACCTCTGGGAACACCAGCTCAATGCAAGGGAACCGGACACAGCCCCATCCCTAATCCACCCCAATGGCAGGGTACCAGCACAGCCAGACCCCAGACAGCAACGCTCACTTGGATGGATCCAGCCCCGGACTGGCCAAGGCAGCGGGGAAGCCCAGAGACAATATCTCAGTGCAGATTAAGTTGAGTTTTCTAATTTTGGGCTGGAGGGGTGCAGGGCTGCATGCCCCTGAGTCCCCCAGCTGCTGTTAGCAGGGGGAGAGCTCGCAGGATGGGGACAGCCGGGCTCAGCACCTGCCCAGGGCTCCTCCGAGCCTGATCCTGGCCAGAAGCATTTCCATCAATGCAGAGAAAAAGAGACAAAAGACTGAAAAACATGGGGGAGAGGGACAGTGGAACAAAGCTCCAGAGCCCTGAGGGCAAAGGGATGTCCCCAGGACTTTGCTCCTTGGTCCCCAGTGCCTCCTGACATGCCTGGTGTCACAGAGCAAGGAGGGCACTGTGCCCGGTGGGATGCATGAGCACATGGAGGCACAACTTGAGGGAAGGTTTGGAGTCTGCCCAGCACTATCACCACCAGTAACTCCCAGTTAGTGCTGGGGTGGTAGAGAAGGGCTGAGCTGGGAGGAGGGGATGGATGGAGGCACCAGCCACGACACCAGGTCTCCTTACCCTTTCCGAATGACAATGATGATGGCTCCCAGGAGGATAATCAGAACGATGAGCCCTCCAGCACAGATCCCCAGGATCAGGCCCATCTCCTCCGAGTGCTGCGACACCTCGAGGGGACGCTTGCTCTCTTTGCAGGCAGCTGCCAGGGGACAAGGACAGGCAGGAAGGGTCAAGGCTCAACTCCAGAGAGGTTGGCAACATCAGACAGGAGAACACTGGGATTTGTCCCATGGGATGCACATTGCTCCTTGAACACATTTTATTCCACCGAGACGTTACGGGGCTCTGCAGTGCCACACTATGACTGTGGGCGAGTCCCTCTCTCGGTTCCCATGGGGTGAGACAGTCCCTTTGTGCCACCTTTCGTTACGCCCAACGTAAGCTTGTCCATCCCTGGATTCAGCATCCAGCACCACCGACTCCAGCCTCCCACCGCCACCATGATACCAGCATTAAGAGGAAAAACTCAACCAAGGGAAAAACCCAGGCACCAACAAAAAGCGGGCAACAAGAGCGTGGGATGGGGCTGTAATAAACCATCGCGCGCACCCCGACCGCCGCCAGCGCTGGTAACGACACCCACCGGCACGGCCCCGACCGCCGGAGCAGCCGCAGGTTCGGGTCCGCAGCCTCGGCGGGATCACGCCGGCTGGGAAAGGGAGGGCTCACCTTTGCGAGCGATCCGGACACAGTTCAGCCGGGTTTCCTACGGAGGAAAAAAAGGGGGGTCAGTGTCGGATGAGCATCCCGGCGGCTCCGCTCCCTGCTCCCACTCTGAGCGAGGCTGGGAGGACGCAAGGCTGGTCCCTGTTGGTGCTTTAACCCACAAATCGAGGGATTTTGCAGGTGATTTGTGCTGCAGCACCTGCTGCTGAGCCAAAGGAGCTCCTGGGGACACACACACCAAGAGCTGCTGCTGAATGATCTGTCCCCAGCATCCCCTAAACCAGCATCCCCAAGTTTAGCCGAGGCCATCGCTCCTGGCACAGAGGCAACAACAAAGCTCAGGATCATCGAAAGAGGGACCCAGCAGACCCAGCCGAGCTGCAGATCACCAGCGCATCACCAGCAACAGCTAAAACACTCCCAGGTCATCATTCAGAGCTTCATGGGGTTTTTTTCATCAAAAAAAGTTTTCAAGCCCCAGCCCCGGTGCTCTGCACATGCTCCCAAGGTTGCCATGAGGGCTTCCAGCTCAGGTCTCCAACAGTTTTAGCATTCGCATCTTTAGGGATGGGTTCAGCTAAAATATTCCATCTTCCCATGCATCCAATTTGTTGCAAAAGAAAAAGCACCATTTTGGCAGGACTGCCTTCTTCCCCAAGCATCCTCCAGCCCCTCAGGACACCAGTGCTGGCAACGTCGCTCCATCCGCCCTTGGACCGAGACCTGCCCACGCAGCGTGCCCAGGGCAGGGCCGGTTCTGACACCGCTCTCCCCGAGGCCACCAGCTCTTGTTTCTCCTGCTTCTTGCTCCATCTGGCACAAAAACCACAAAAAACCAAGCTGGGATCCAGCTTTTTCGTGACTTCTGACAGCAGCCAGGACAAATCCATTGCCTCCCAGCAGGAAGGCTATAAAACAGCGTCAGCTACCAGTTATTATCCAGCAGTGCCCAGGCAAGCCAGAGCTGAGATCCTCCCTGTCCATCTCAGCTCTAATTACAACCCAGTGAGATGTGAACGATCCAGGAGAGAAAGAAAGGATTCAAAAACCAGCACCTTTCCAGCAAGATGGAGCGGTGCAGGATGAGGATGCTGCCGCAGTCCTTCTGCTTCGCTTTCACAGCTCATCCTCCCCCAGGTTGGATGGGAGTTGTTGGAGGAGGTGAAGCCAAGAAGCATCCCCAGGGGGTCCCGGGGGTCCCGCTGGTGACTTGAAGGAAATCAGCCCGGGGGGATGCAAGGGTTGCTGCCAGAGTGGGACTGTTAAGGCTTCCCCAAGAGAACAGGCAGCAGCAGGCAGGGAGAGGGCAGCCCGGGAACTCGGCAGCTTCCCAGGAGCTCTCTACAGCAACCACTGTGTCGGCAGTGGGTCCCAGTAACACGCACACAGCTCTTGCTGCCCAAATGGTCCTTTTCCACCCCAGGATTAGCCCCGGGAAGGCGGTCTCCCCTGCACCGGTGCTGGTTGGGGTCCTGGCCGGTACTGCAGCAGGTGGCGGAGGTTGGGCTCCTCCACCCCTGGCATCGGCACCCGGAGGGGGAGAAGCACAGCCCAGGGGTGCTGGGAGGAAGGAGGACACCCATCCGTGATCCCGATGTGCTGTAAGGGTGGCCCAGAGCGCCAGCTCCCTGCGGGAAGGACACTGGGGGTGAGCCCAGAGCCGGGGCCCAAGTGAGGGGGATCTAAAACAAGTCCCATGTTTTCTGACCCCCACCTAGACCCCAGCTGGGCTCCTGCATGGTCCAACCAGGACCCCAGACACCCCACCAGTTGGAGCGGGGTCCCACAGCTACTCACCCCTTTGAGGTTGCTCATGGCTTGGAAGTAGATGAGATATGCCTTCTTGGGCTCCAGCGGTGGGTTCCAGTAGCCACTGTAGGTCTGGTTGTCCCCCACAGTGAAGGGTTTGGCTTCAGTGAGGCTGCTGGCAGGCAGCTCAGCCCCGAAGTAGTGTACAGAACCACGGGACACAGCATCATCGAAGGTGAGTGGCACCGGGAAGCACTCCTGCCCACCCAGCTCCCTCTTGAGCTTCTTGGGCCGGTCTTCCTCTACAATGACCTGGTAGGTGCTGGTAAGGGCAAGGCATAGGTTAGCTTTGTAAAAAGGACAGTCCTGCCCTTCCCTTGGTGCTTGTCCCCACCATCCATGCCGTGTCACCCCTTTGTGGGGGGTCTCGCCCTCACGCAGCCCCAACCTACCTGATGGGAGCCCCTCTGCCCTGCGCCGGCCGCAGCAGCACCGTGATGGTGCTCTCCGACTCGCTCAGCGGCGATGGCATGTCCCCGTAGTCGAAGGTAGGAGCTGCAAAGGGAGCAGGAGAGAGCGGGCAGGGGTGAGTCCTGGTCCCCAGGGATGCACCGGGGCTGCCCCCTGCTCAGGGGGGGAAACTGAGGCAAGTGCAGCCTTGCCTATGGCAAGGCGTCGCTGAATGGTGTAATGTGAATTATTCCAAATAAAGAAAACACCTCAAGGTCTTGAACAAGCGTTATAGCTGGGAGAGGACCCGTGGGTGTGCGCCGAGGGGGGGTTATCAACGCCGGTTTGGCAGAGGGGAGGAGATGGGAGCAGGATCCAACCTCGGCGGGACCCAAACACTCCAGCCTCCAGATGCACCCAGGGGACAGCACTGCTCTGAACTGCCGGCACAGCGTGAGCATCCCAGCCAGGCAGCGTGCCCAAGCCAGCCCAGCAGCACCCCCAGACAAAGGTGGGGGATCCCCATCGTTCCCAGAACATCCCTGTGGTCCCAAAGCCACCACTGGCAGCCACTGGGGTCCAACTCGCGCTGCTTTGCAGTTTTGGTGCCCCCATTAGGGCTCATCTCAGCCCATTTGCTGCAGTTAATAGTGATGCCACGGACACAAGCAAACAGCCCCAATTACCGCAAGGCTTATTAACGAAGCCCAGTTAAACCCTCGCTTGTACGCTGATAGCTTAGACAGCACCGGTGTGCCGGGCTGGCTGGACTCCCCAGCCAGAGACCCACACTCAGCCCAGCTGATGGGTTTGGGGGGCTCACAGCACGGCTGCCACCACCAACTGCATCCTTCGATAGCAGCATCCAGTCACCAAAATCCACAGGAGCGCACCAGAGACTCCGGCATTGCCATCGTATACCTGTGCAGAGGAGAAGCCTCAGCACCAGGCGTGGAGCCCAAGGGAACCTACCGGAGATGTTGGTGGTGATCTCAGTGAGTGCTGTCTGGCCAAAACCCTTGCCGGTGCGGGCCCGGACCGAGAAGAGGTAGGTGGTGCCGGGGTGGAGGTTGGAGAAGACGTGGTAGGTCTCGTTGCGTAGTTTGGAGACGGTGCGCCGCGGGCCCGGCACGTTGACCGCTGGGTCAGAGGACTCGATGCTCTGGTAGCTGATCTGCAGGGAGAGGGCAGAGCATCACCAGCAGCCACAGGAGAGGGGAGAGACCCCGGATCCAGGCAGCGAAGGGTTTAAAGGGATGAATTCAGAGGAGCAGATGGTCATGGGGGCAGTCTGGAAGGCAGATGCTTTTTGGGGTAAATCAAAAGCAGAGGTTTATCAGAAAAGCTGTTGCTGAGTAATACCGGTGACCCCAAAAGCAGGACTCCCCAGCAGGGACAGACCCTGCTAGCAGGAGGATGAACGCAGGCTGGATCCGTGCTCCAAACGAAGGGCTCGGGGGCAGAAGTAACGCTGCAGCCGCCCTTAATCCCCACAACCAAAAGCAGCAGTTGCCCCAGATCCCCCCCACTGCCCCCCCCCCGCGACGGGACCCCCCTGTGTCCCCGTGGGTGCCCTGCAGGTGCCGCAGCTGGCCAGGACCTACCTCGTACTGCGTGATGAGGCCGTTGGGCTCCACCGGTTCCTCCCACTTCAGAAATATCATGTCCTCCAGCGGGGTGAAGGTGAGGGACTCCGAGGCGATGCCGCCGGGCACTGGGGAAGGAAAGGGGACGTGCTCGGATGAGGCAAGAAATGCAGCTGGAAGGAGAAATCCTCCAGGAAACCCCTCCAGACGGCTGCAGCAGCTCTCCCCCATAACCAAGCCACTGTGTCCCCTCTGCTACATCACCCAGCTCCGGTGCCTGCCACCAGATGAGGCTCGTGGCTGCCCAGGGAGATGCTTCCTAGGGCAACAATGCTCCCACTGCGCTCCCGGGCCCACTGGTGACACTTTGCCATGGGGCAGGGGGGTCCCCATGCCATGGCACAAACCCCACAGGTACTGTTTCTGGCATTGCACCCAGTTTCTGATAGCACAGCAGCAAGCCCCCGCGCACCGTCACCGGCAGAGCTCGCCTGAGTTCACCAGTGCGAGGAAAGGAAAAAAAAAAAAAAAAAATTCCATTTTCCCATAGAACCCAAATCCCCACCCCGTAGCCACCAGCATCCTCGGGAGACATTGCTGGCACTCCCCCCGGCGAGCTTCCCTCATCTGCAGGCAAGCTTGACATGCCCCAGCCTTCCCCTCTAATTAACACCAACAAAAATAATAACCGCAAACAATAACAGCGATCAACAGCACTGGGATCAATATTCGCTTCTTTACCATGGATTTCTTGACCCAAGGGGTTAGCGGGGACAACAGGAGAGGCGATGGCTCAGCCAAGACCATGACTCACCAGCAGCATCCTCTGCTGCAGGCTTGAGCACCCAAAACATGCACCCTCTCGTTGCAGAGGGACATCAGCTCTTCCCCTCTATTTTTCTTTTTTGCAGCTTTTGTTCTGATCTAATTACGGGGCCGAGAGAGAGGGATCGCCTTCCGTGCGCTTCCCACCATGCAAATACACAATTTCCACTTGATTTACAAGTTAATTTAATCAGAGGCGCCATGTCCTACATGTGTACACAAGGCACTTATTAAATTCACGGGAATTATGGAAACCTTTAGGGCAAGAATGTGTGTATCTCTATAGATATTTTTATATATATAGCCTATATGTTTTTATATATACAGGTATGGGCACCACACGCTTGTGCGTGCACCAGGTTGAGACCGGCAGAAGGCACAATGGCTCCCAGGTGTGCGTATACCCTTCTGCCATCCATAGACATCATATATATTTATTTATGCATTTATATATTTATTCTGGCTGGCAGTGCATGCACCCTGCCTGCAAGGGAGAGAACTGGCTCCCCGCACACTCCTCCCCGCAGCACCAACACACTGCAATGATATTTCCACAGACACCTGGGATCGAGCCTCATCATTTCGTGCAGACATAGACCCAAATCTCCAGCCGTGGGTCACCAACACCTTCCTGACCTCCTCTGGATCTATATGGGGCACTTAAACACCAACTGGGCAACCTATAGATCCAGCACCCTCTTCTCTCCGTGTCCTGCCCACGCACCCAGGAGCCAGCAGGACTTCGCCCAGGGTCCAAGAGGGATGCTGTGAGCAACGCCCTTGGTTTGGCCCAGTTAGTAATGCCCCAGAAAAGGGTTTTCCAGCCCCAAACCAGCGTTTACCACTTGGGATGGGGGGGGTGCAGCTTTGCAGCCCACACCAAGGCTCCCCACCAGACAAGGCCCAGCACCACACCAGTGGATGCTGCAACCAAAGCTGGCCTCCTGCCAAAATAAAGCACAATCAAGGGTCCTATTATTAACGAGCCTTCTCCACCTTGGCTTAACTGCACAGGCAGGTGCTCGTCACCCACTTCTAGAAGCTCAAATCATCATTACCTCCCAAGCAAGCAGAGAGATCCTGGGCCAAGCCTGTGTGTAATATCTGCAATATATCCATAGGTGGATATCCATCAATTGATCCCACCCGAGACCAAATGTATACGCTGCCCCAAGTTCAATCCAAGAGGGAAGCCACAAGCCCCCGTTAATCAAGCCATAGGGGAAAGCAGCTGGAGTGATTACGGTATAGCAAAAAGACATCTGGAGCTCCTGTATTAATATTCAATAAGAAAACAGCTGGAGCAGTAACAGCACAGTGAGAACAGCTGAAGCAATTATAGCCAGAAAATAAACCATCAGGAGCATGAAGCTGGGTGCCCCCGGTCAGGCAGGCTCAGGGTTGGGGATACTGAAAGTGCTGATGTGCAGAGAAAGGTGCCAAATTTATGCTTTAGAGATAAAAATAGGACCCAGAAACCCTCCCAGCTCTGCTCCAGCTCTGCAGGTTTTGCTTTCCAGCCTGGGAAATGGGAGCGATGAGCAACACACACACAAAAGCCACACATTTTGGTGGGTCCCAAAGCAAGGTGAGTCCCATGCAGAGGGGTTTCACAGCAGGCTTCTACTCGGGGGTCATCCAGGGGGTCTGGAGCTGCCCAGATCCTTTACAATTATCAATTCTTCCACCATAATCGCCAATTCTTGATGCTAAAAAGTGCTTCGGAGATTAATTACGTTCTTGCTTAACAGTGCCAGTGACTCTGCGAAAGCTAAGGATGCTCTGGCCACACTCAGCACCCAGCACCCACCCCGGGGCGCAGCGACTCCTTGCACCCCACGCAAGCCCCCACCGCTGCTGCCCTCCGTGGACCAGGATGAGACCCCCCTCACGCCACTGGCTGCAGGACCAGCCATCAGAGCAGCAGCTTTTGGGGGCTGCCCAGTGGTCCTCAAAGGCAGCCAAGTTGTCACAGCATGCAGAAGAGATGCTGATGGGGCAGCAAAGAGGATGGGACGAGCAGAGGGAGTCGTTAGCGGGCACTGCCAGCCCTGGATGTGACCCATCACTGATGGGTGGCACTGGAGACACGGAGCCGGCTCTGCCCTGTACCTCCTGCCACGTTCACGGGGTCTCCAGAGCCCAAAATGACCCAAGCACTCTGCTGACAGAGAGCGGCAGCCGCGGACCACGGTGCAGGGTAAGGCCAGACCTGGGAGACCTGTCTGGTGGCTGCAGCTCCAGGACATCCTCAGGGAACGGCTGGGCAGGAGCAAGAGATGCCAAACCCAGGAGTCCTGGAGCAACACTGGAGCCTCCAGCGAGGATGTCAGCCCCACTCGGGTGCCAGTGGCAGAGACCCAACCCTGGGGCACAGCCAGGACAGGGAGAAGAGAAACGGCTCAGCTGTTCAGGAGCAATGTTGCTGGCAAATAACCAGGGCCAGACACCCCTTGTCAACACGCACTCATCCACAGAGCTCGTTTGCACAACCTGAACCCACCTAAGAGCAAACTTCATCAGGGAAGAGCATTGGGGAAGCCGAGCAAAGCTGCACCAGGCTCTGGTTAACAGCACTCTCCCAGAAATGTAGCAATGCCAAATTAATCAGTGACCGAGCAGATAAAAGATGTTACCTAAATATAAAGTGTTAACTGCTTTAATCGTTATTATTATCACTGCTAGGCTTTGGTTCCACACTAAGGGATGAACGAGGACAACTCGTGCTGGGACGAGCCAGGCATCAGCCAACTCTCGCACCCTCCGCCAGACCGGGCATGGCTGAAATGCTTCACTCAAAGGACAAGGGCAGCGTTTCTGCAGTGACATCCCCATCCAGTCCTCTCCACCCCCCAAGCCGCTCCCAGCATTTCCCTTCCCCAGCCACCACCACTGCCCCTTTCTCTTGCCTCCCCTTCTACAGCCCTGAGGCTACAACAGCCTTTTCACCTCCCCGTTAGCACGACGGCCACAGGAGATATTCCCATCATACCCCTGGCCAAGAGCCAGGGATGTGCACCGTGCCACGGGAAACACCCCGGCAGCTCACCAGCCACAGAGTCCTATTTTTGGGGACAATGCACCTCCCTGAGAGGACTCACCATCCTCATCCGTCTGGAATATCACCTCCTTGCCTTCCTTGCGACCCTCGGGGTTGGAGAGGATGAGCTTGACATGGATGTTCTTGTAGGGCAGCAGGTTTTTGATGGTGTAGCGGTTGGTGTTACGCTCCATCTTCACGCACTCCCGGAAGGTTTGGTTGTGGCCAGTGCCCACAAAATAGCGGTAGCAGAGTGAGACGGTGTAGGTGTGACAGCGAGTCAGGTTATAACCCAGCGGCTCCCATTGCAATGTCAGCTGTCTGGACTGGATTTCAGAGAAAGCCAGGCCTTTGGGGGCCCGCATGGGCTCTGTGGGGGAAGAGAGATGGGGACAGTGAGTGATGAAGCAAAACATCTTGTGGGTTTACATGTATTATCAGGGAAAGCCCTTTTACAGCACAGGAACACGACAGGAGAGTGCGGAGGGCAACCCTGACCCCAAAACTGGGACCAGCTCAGGATGCTGCTGCCCTGCAGACAGGGCTGGGAACATCACTAGGTCTCAAAGCCACCAATGCTGCAGGGACAGCAGCCCCCGTTGGCTCATCTGCCCCTGTGGAGGTGAAGCCAGGTCCCAACCCCGCTGGCCCCGCCAGCACAGAGCCACGGTGGGCACTGGCAGCATCCACGCCAGGAGCAGCCCCAACCAACCAGATAAATATGCCTGTGCAATAGGAGCCCTTGCACTTTCATGGAGCCTGTGTCAGGCTCTTGAAAGGACAAAGACCAAGTGCTATCACCGGGAAAGAGTTTAATTAGCTCTAATTGGCCTGAACAGGAGAAGTCAGATTTAACTGAGCCGAGCTCCTTTGCAGACAGCGCATGCACACAGGTGGTTTGGCTTAATGGCCATAAATTCCTTCCATACTTAAGGGTGGTGGGAAGGAGGGTCTTCGCCCATCCTGTCCCAGAGCTGAGCCCCCAGGTGATTCCCCTGGGATTTGCACGGCAGAGGAGCTGGTGTAGCTCAGGGTTGCAAGAGGCTTTTGCAACCTCAGCAGATGCTCCTGCAGGTCCCGATGCCCTCGTGGGACCCTGGCAAAACCCCAGCTGGTTTTGGAGGGGGTAAGCATGGCCACAGGCACATAGCCCCATGCTGCAGGGACCCCAACTTTAACCTACTGCCACCTCCAGCTTTGCCAAAACTCACCCAACCTCAGCCCCGATGCCCGCTGCCATCGCTCCCACTGGGTGGCCAAGGGCACAGGGACCTCTCCTCACTCTTTCCCCCAGGGCCTCCAAGAGCCCCCCACACCTCCCCAAGCAGCACCGCGTGGTGCCAGGCTTTAACATCCCCCTCTTCTTTTTATTCCAGTGTATTTAAATGCTCAGAAGGGGTTTCCAGGATCCCCTCCCAGGTCAGATCCTACAAAGCATGGGAGACACGGCGCTGGGCAGACAGGCTGGTGAGGTTCTGAGGATGCAACTGCAGCCGCCTTTTGGGTGGAGGAAGGGCAGCTATGTCACCATCTGTAAACCCACCGTGACCCAGGGGAAGTCAGGGAGAAAAATACATCGTTATGACACATGGGAAGAGCTTGGGGAGCCTGAACCCAATACAAATAGGAAGTTAAATACAGGGCACCAATAGTGTGAAACAGCACCCATCATCAGCTTTAAGGAAATACGGAAACCTGGGCTTTCTTGCAGCACCTCTGAAAATTAATCTGGGATGCAAAGCCGCTGCCAGCCCCTCACTGTGAGACCTGGGTTGGGGTTTGCATCTCCCCCTCCACCCCTGCACCGGCACCGGCTGCTCCCCACGCACACCAGAGTGCGCCCATCTCCGAGGCCGACCCCGCTTGTGGGGCTCTCCGCAGCCACGGCCAAAGCCACCGGGGATGCCCCACAGCCCTGGGGCTGCGGCCGTGTCCTGCTCCGCTCCTGCCACGTCTAAGGAGGATGCGCCCACTGGTCCCAGTCTGTGGGACGATGCTCCCGGCTCGCTCCCAGCTCAGCAGCACGGACCTCCACTTTTGTCGGGTTGGGGTTTTTCTTGTGCAGGGTCCCAGCCCAGCATCACGGCAGTGCCGGTTCTTGGGGTGAACACAGCGTGACAATCCTGTGCCTCCATCACGCCACCTCATTGCCTTCGACTTTGCTCAATTACCAGCAGTTAAATGCCGGCATCAGGAAGGCGGTTGCATTGGAGCGTCTGAAACGCCGCCGCCAGCCCCCGGTCCCAGTCCCGACACAGCCAGGGACGACCCCCAACCTGGGTCACCCCCCGTAGGGATGTGGGGTCAGACTCCCCCGAGGGAAACAGGCTCCCCTGCAGCCCCACGGCACCGGAGAAGTCTTCCCCCATGGCCCCCCCGACTGGCAGCATGGTTGCACCATGGGCATTTTGGCAAAGAGAAACCCCAGCTCCTCCCTTCCCTGGGGACACCCCGAGGGGGCTTCGGCAGGGATGGGGTTGCCCTGAATTATCCCCAGGTCATCGCCACGTGTGGGAAGGCAGCCGACCCCCCCAGCCAAAGCCATCACCCCTCCAGTGTGACAGAGGATTAATGCAGTTTTAGATGAGATATTTTTAGAGGCACCGACCGCTCAAAACCATGTACTGGAGAATAATCTACAGCTCCCTCCGAGGAGGGAACGAGATGGGAATCTTGCTAGGGACAGCCAAGGGGCTCATCCTCAGGGACAGTGGTCCTGAGATTTGGGGATGCCCTGAGCTGGATGAGGCCCCGAGCCTGCAGCCACGGCAGAGGAGGAGCAGCCGTCTCCTGCCGGCGTTTGCCTGGCTCCAGGGACAGAAACCAGCCGTGCGGCAGCTGCTAACTCTGTGCATCCCATTGCTGTGCTTTCCTGCACCGAGGTCGCGCCTGGCTGCTCCTGACTGATCAGCAAAAACCCACCATCCGTCAGGGCATTTTCAGGCTGGATAGACATTGCTGGATCGACAGGCTGATTGCGTTGGCTCAGGATCCAGCCTCGCCCATGCACCCTGCTACCCTGTGGCTACGATCACAACATTGAATTCAATTAGTGGTCCCTCCCAAGATGCTGCATAAAACCACTAAAAAGTCAATTAAAGGCAGATCCGTTGGAAGACCAATGCTTCAAGCTCCTGGACCGCACCAGCAAATGCCCTCAGCACCCATCCAGCCCCAGCCGTGCTCCCTGCCCAGGGCTCGTGGTGGCAGGGGACCTTGCCCTCGGCCAGCTGGGATGGCCGGGATGCACCGCGGGACCCACCTGCGCACTTGGTGCGGCTGATGAGGGGCGGCCCTGGTTTGCCAGTGCCCCCCTCACCGGGCCGGGTGAGCAGGACGCTGATCTCGTACTCCGTGTCCGGATCCAAGTGCCAGAGCTTGTAGGTCTGCATGTTGACGGCGTGGACCTCCGACCAGGGCCCCGAGGTCATGCGGTACTCGATCTCCTTGCGCACGATGGGGCCGTCGCCGATGATGGAGTTGGTGTTGAGCTGGATGATGAGGTAGGTGGAACCGGCCCGGAGCAGCTGGGGGGGTGCGATGGGTGTGGGGGGCTCTGGAAAAAAGCAGAGGAGGGGCAGGTGGAACGTCCCCCTCCAGAAGCGGCTCCATAGCATCCCCAGCCCCGGAGCAAGTCCAACATTGGCACAACCAAAGGTACTGCAATTTTATTTTTACTAGCTACAGTTGAGACATTCAAAACATCTCTTCCCAAACAACCCACCACCTTCGCGCTGCAGGGCACGGGACAAACTTGGACCCCCTGCCCAGAGGATGTAAGGGACCGACACCGAAGTATGGGAGGGCACCATCCAGTCTTTAAACTTCGGCCCGTGCATACGCCCTCCATAGCTTTTAGCAAGGCTTTAACCACTGCAACAGGGTTTCATCTGATCAAACCTTAATTATCTTTATAAGATACACTGCCCAGCATGGTGCTGCACAGTTTCACCATAATTAATTAATTCCCACCTACTGCAATCAAAAACAAATGATCTAAGGCCACCGAGAAAGGTAGTTTCCTGGTTTTGTGCTGAACCATCCGCACGTAGCAACTCATTCACAGCAAGAAACTGCGATCCCACCGCACCGAGCATCCCACCTTCCTCTTCCTCTGCAAACAGCGGAGTAGAAATAGCCCATCCGTGACCCAGAAACCTGGCGGGTAAGAGCAAGTCACCCACCTTTCACGATGAGCTCGGCGAAGTTGGAGACGCCCGAGCCGCGGCTGGACTGGGTGACGCAGCGGTAGAGGTCCTGCTCCTCCTTGGACACCTCATCCAGCTGGAAGGTGGCCAGGAAGCGCCGGTGGCTGATGTGCTTCACAGAGGCGGCGGGGACCACCTCGCCGCTCTGCCTCTGCCCCACGGGGAGAGACAAGAGGTCACCAGGAGGCATGGTGTGACATCCAGAGCCACCAAACACGTCCCCAGATGATGTCTGCTTAAAAGGAGGGGGGACTGCCCTTCTCCCCCCTGCCCAGAGGGGTTTTCTCCTAACGGGGAGGCATGGAGGCGTTGCAGAAGCGATGCACAGGGTTGACGGTGGAGATGCTGGTTTCACCACCGCTGTTGCTCACCTGCATGAGGAACCGCTCGGCCTCGGCAGCCTTGCCGGCGGCCACACACTGGAAGGTGGCGTTCTGTCCCGCGTTGACCTCCACATCGCCCAGGCGGGAGAAATGAGGTGCTTTCGCTGCCGAGGGACACAAGCATCAGTATTACTGCAAAAATTCCACCGCAGCCCAAAAACCCACCTGGGATGCTGGGGCTAGAGCCAAGCTCAGGATGGGCTCGGTCCCCATCCTCATAGCTTAGCCAGGATCCCTCACCAGCAAGCCCACAACGAAGATCCTGGGCAGAATCCTGAGACTGGAGTCAGGGATTTGTCCCTGTACAACCAGCCGGTGTTCCAAGGAGGGATGCAGCCTTCCCCTCCAGCATCCCACAAGTACTGGTGTCGGATACGGGCTATGGGGTTGATAGAGGAGGACAGATCTCCTACCCCAGCCTCGAAGAAATAGGGGGTGAACCCCAACAGCCAACGTGTTGGGACAGTCTGGGATTTCAGGTCTCCACCAGCACAGGTGGCCCCTCTTGATGGGGACACTCAGGCCACATGTTCAGTCTGCGCTTCTGCAAGGTTTTATAAAAACTAAAGCAACGTCAGAGCTGGTGGTGATGGAGATGGAAAAAGGAGCCCCAGAGGTACTCAGGATATGGAGCTCCACCAGCCTAGGTGACAACAGGACACCCAGGTGCCACCAGACTGCACTCTGGCATTAGTCCATCAGCTCTCCCCAGGACCATCCCAATGGGTACCAGCTCCGTACCCCACTGCCCAGCCCAGCTCAGCAGCAGCCCCCCCCCACCACCACCCACCCCCCTCGTGTCCCATCCCCTGACACTCACAGCATGGATAATTCAAGAGCAAAATGTCATCCAAGCCAAGATAACCCCTGCGCTCGCTGGAGACCACCGCCTCGAAGAGGACCTGCGGCACCAAATGAAGGGGTCACCCATTGCTGGGGGGTCCGGGTCATGCGAGGGGGAGTTCTGCTGGGGCTCACCTGGTACTCGCTGGGCCAGAACAAGCTGACGGCCAACTCTGCCTGGTGCCACTGGCGGCCGTGGGAGCCGGAGGCGTTCCAGACGGCGCTGCCCACCGGGCCCCCTGTCACCCGGACGTAGGCGCTGAGGGTGCCAGGGCTGTGGCCATCCCGGCTGTACATGAAGTAGCTGAACTGGAGGCAGTGGGTGTCATTCTCACTCAGCGCCTGGAAAAGCAGGTGAGCTTTCTGGCCTGGGGCGTGCTGCGAGGAGTTCACCATCAGGTAGGAGCCTGCGGCAGGAGGGAGAAGTGGGGGAAAGCGTGGAGTAATCCCCCTGCTCCGTATCTCCTGAGTTTTGCTGGCAGGGATAGAGAAGGCGGAGGATGCGGGGCTGCAAAGATGCGCACAACCCAGCAACGATGCTCAGGTCCCGCTGGGTACCTGTCCATGCCGGACCATGGGGACATGCAGGACAGGAGCAAGGGACCCAGGATGGAATCAGTGTCAGATACCTATTTGAGCAGCAGCAGGGCACCAAAATGGGACCTGGCCACTGGACAAGCAGGGAAGGATCAGGCCCATTCACTGCCTCCAGGATAAGCTGGCCCTCAGGACATCAGGGTCAGTAATAGCTTCGATACCACCAGAGACCCTCTGCCTGCTTTCCTTTAATGCTCACAGCTTCGGCTGCATCAATAGTCCCCTCCCCAACTGGGCCCCAGCCATTTAATTTCCATTCCCATCGCCTCGTATCATTTACCACGCAGTTGTCACCGAGTTTAAACTGCGCTCAGCAGGCACCCGCAGGGGGTGAAAAAGCGCTCACTGGCTTAATGAGCAGCAGCACCACAGCTCTCTGGGATGCTGGCACAGTGGCTCTCCAAGATACTGGCCCCAGACCCAGCTCCCCACCTGCCCCACCACCAGCAGCCACTGGTACCTCACCTCCCATCACCCAAAATCACCAGCAACAAAACCAGGAGTCCCAGTGCTTGCCCCAGTGCAACCCTGAAGCCATGTTATGGGGCAGGCAGGATGAAAATCTCAAAGGGGATCCCAAAGGCAGCATCCTTCCCTGCCCTGCATGCTCCATCCCAGGCGGTCTGGAGGCAGGAGGAGGATGCAGAAGTCCCAGCTCTTCGTGGCAGCTCCCAGAGCCATCCAACACGGCCGTGGGGCCGGGACACAGGGAGGATTAGAAGCTGCCCTACCAAACCCTCCCCATCACCAAAGGCGAGGGGATTATTAATATCCCTTCCATTTTAATAACGGCAGATGCTGTAAGTAACAAAGCTGGGCCATTTATTCAAGTCTACCATTGTTTTCCTGACAGTAGGCGCTTAATTATTAATAGCTTTCACCGCCGGTTAATTTAAACGAATTCACGCACTTTCCTCCCATCGGCTCCCAGTAAGCAGCACCAAGAAAAGTCTAATGAAGGTGGTGGGGGATCGCAGGGGGCACCCATCCATCTCGCCAGCATTTGGGAGCTGTACCTGGGGTGACCCCAAAATGCATAGGGGGACCCCAAAACACCCAGGGGGTCACAGCATCAGCTGGGGAGACAAGTTGCCAGGTACCGCACCGCATCCTCCAGTGCATCCTTCAGGGATGGGAGCCGGGGTGGGGAAAGAAATCACCAAAAAGCAAAATTTTCACCGTGTCGCTGATCCGCATGGCTGCCCGGTGCTCCCAGCCCCTCCAGGCAGATATTCAGGGTGAAGTAAAACGATAACAATTTCTTTTCTCGGAGTCAAGCACAGCCGCATTTCACCGACGGGGGGAAGGCACTATGTCCACATTCATTCTCTTTTTTTTTTTTCCCCCTCATTTCCCCTGGCAAAATTATTTCTGCACTAACAAGATCAGCTCCATTTGGTCCAGGCAACGGCAGCATTGAGAGAGAACACCGACCTGCCCCATGCCAGGGGACATCTCCCAAAAGCCACCTCCGCCTGCTCAATCTGCCAGGCTCTCATTAATGAACACAGACCCTTCTTCCTTCTCTCTCTTTAAAAATAAAAAGCCAGAGGACCAAAATAAAGAGACCAAGACTAAAATTAGACCACTGACAAGTTATTTTAAAAGACAGAGAATGTCCATTAAGGTTATTCGGGACCACAGACACAAACAGGTGGCAATCCACCAGTACATCACTCATCTGGCAGGGCTTCCCCCATGCACTATTTTCCCCCCTTAATTTTCTTCCTGGCGTTGCTGTATCAGAAAAAGCAGACTCCTACCGCTCACTTTTGTGCTAATTATATCCTCCTCCACCGCAAATAGTCATTTGTCCCAGCTTCAGCTTCAAGTCCAGGGTACAGGTTGGGTTTGTTTTTTTTTTAATGCAGAAGAACCAGAAGTACCTGTCCCCATGTTGGGGTGCTGCATCCTGCACCAGAGCATCCCCTGGCACAGACAGGGTCCTGGGACAGGCAACTTCTCATACAGAGGTGGCTGGGGGTTACAAACTCCCTTGGCTGCCCCGGGTTTGTTTGGTTTTGGTTTTTTTGCAGGGGATGTTTTTGGTTTTCAGTAAGGTTTTTTGGTTGCTGGGGTTTTTTAATGCACCCCAATGAAATGGCAGCGCAGCCCTGCCTGGGTGCTCTCACCAGCAGCACTGGCACACAGGGAGCTCAAGGAGGCAGCTGATGACAAAAGGGTGACAAGGAGGTGACAGCCTGCACACAGACCATCACCATCCACCCCACAGGACACCAACCCGCTCCTCCCTAGTGTCTCCATCATTTCAGGATGCTCCCAGGCACCCAGGGAGCAAGGGAGATGCATGGCCCCTCCCAGGGAGATGCAGCAAGGACTTGGGGTTCCCCCAGACTCCTTCCATTTGTTCCTTGTTAATCCATCACTGCTGCCAGGGTCCCCCCCGCACCCCCAATCCGTGGGTGCTCAGCTTCCACCAGGATCCAGCAACTTTCCCAGCCAGGGCAAGAGCAAAGCTGCAGCAAGAGCTACACAAAGTGCCAAATTCCAGTTTTTAAAGCTTAGCTTAATTCCTGCCAGCAAAGCTGGAGATGGGGATGGACGGGGCATCCCAGCCCTGCTGCATCCCAGAGCCAGCTGGGGACAGGCAGGACCACTCCCAGCAGCCAGAGGCTTGAGGCAATATCACAGCTCATCAGCACAGCTGGGCTTATTTTAAAGCCCTGTCCATATTGTTGGCATTACACAGCAAAAATCTGCTCCAAAAACTCATGATGGGGAAAAAAATAATTTCCAAACCTCCCACGAAATGGGAGCTGCAGAAAGAGCCCCGGGGCATCCCCCAGTTGAGACTTCAAACCAAAGGATGGGATTCGGGCACACATCAATACCATGCTTCGCTCGGTAAGTCCTTCTTCTGATCCTCAATTTAAGGTTAGTTTGAATTGAGATGCTGCTCCAGGTGAGCTGCCACCCCCCTTTGCCACTATGAATAACACATCAGCCCCTCTGTGTGCCCCGCCCTGCCCCCCCCCAGCTCAGCTGCAGCAATATAATTTTAGTTTTCAGGTGGGCTTTTAGAGAAGAGCCCCAGTGCTCTGTGGAGAAAAAGAAAAAGACTCAAAAAGCGCTAAATAATATTTCAATCAAAGAAATGAAGAGAAACAAGTTTCCAGCGATGTTCCCTAAGGAAAAACCATCAATTTACTACGCAAAAGTCGACAATGAGGGTTGAGCTGCAAAATCAGCCCGGAGGGGCTGTGCACAGAAAGCCTTGTACCCCTCCCAGCAAGTCCTCATGCAGGGTCTCCAGCTGAATCTTCCCACTTGTGGGATCAACAGCTCTTCCTTGGGATTCAGGTCAGCTCTTCAAGGATAACTCGGCACCTCCGATAACCCTGGCCATGAATCCAAAAGTAATGAGCTCCCAAGGATTTTCTCCCTAGCTTCAGACTGAAGCCCAGCTCGCCCACAGGGATGGAGCAGCTCTCCCCATCACACTGCCCTTCCCAAGGATCCTGCCTGCAGCTGCCTGCATCCCTCTGGGAAAAAACCCAAAACAGCCCAGCAAGGAGGAGAGAAGAACCCACTCCCCCCGCCCACCACCACTTCCCCATCTTGCTGAGTTTTTCCTCCTACAAAACCACCGAGAGATAAAAATAAAATAAAATTTAAACACATCTCCCCCCGCCCCCCCCAAAACAAAACAAACAAAAAAACACCAAAGAGCTATTAGAAGACAGCAAAAGGCAGGCAAGATGACAGGCAGAGGGCAGTACTGCCAGCCTGGAGGTGCCAGGGGACCAGATCTGAGCTCTGCAGCATCTGTCTCCAGGAAATCGCTTTGAAAGATGAAGCTCGACAGTGCCTCCTCCTGCGCTGGATCTTCTTCTCAACCCATCAGAGCTGGCACGGGAATCGGGTACCCTATCCCTGCTCCTGCACCAAGCCCCAGGACGAGCATCTCCCAGGGGAGCCCCATCACCAACGGCTGATCTGCCACCACCACAGGGTCCTTGGACAGACCAGTGTAACTCCCCCAGGAGCCAAAAATCAGGCTTAATTTTTCAAGGTTTTTATGGATATGCAGCAGGAACTGGTTGGGAAGTGGTGCCAGAGCTATCAGCTGAAGGAGAGGCTCCTCAGAGGGGATGGAAGGACATCGGAGCTCATCGGGGTGGGGACAACGGCTTGGTCACCTCCCAACACAGCTGTGCCAGGGCATCGTGATGCAGCTGCGTGGGAAGCATGACGGCAGCTCCGTGCATGGAGAGAGGGAAGAGCCAAGCAGGGAACAGAAACTCCGACTCACGGAGGATTTTCTAGTGCCACTGAGTTTGGAAGGAAAACCTAGGAAAAAGAGCCATTAAAGAGAAAAAACACCCCCAAAAACGGTGTTTCAGTATTTTTGAGTACAGCTGTGCAGAGCGGGGAGCCTGGGTGCTCCAGTCCCTGAGATGGGGCTGCAGAGGGGCAGGAGGGCACGCAGCCTCCACGGGGAGTTTTTGCCACAGTTTCTCCCAACCCAACTCACCTCCTTTGAATTTCCACACATGAATTCAACCAGCAACAAAACAAGGTGCCTGCACATCTCCCAGGGAGACCCTGGAGCTCCACAGAGCATCTTTGTCCTCTAAGGGACACCCTGCATCTCTGCAGGGGTGAGGACAGGGACCCAACCTTGGCTCTGCCCTGTGCTCCATCCTGGACCTGCCCCATCCAAATTCATACAGGGCTTAACCTAAACACCCTTGTTTATTTTGACTTTAAGTTACCACAACTCATGTTTCAACCCAGGAGCTCAAAAAAAAAAAAAAATCAGTCTGATTTCACACCCCTGCCCCATCCTTGCCTACTGGCCCACCCCACCACCTGGTCCTCTGCTCCTCAAAGGGCTTTGGGATCCGGCCACATCCTGCAAGCCCTGCAGGTGCTCAGCAATGCCAGGTGCTGCAGAACAAGGCACACGCTGCCCCTCCTCTCCCCAGCTTCAAACAGCAGGACTTCTACGAGACTAGATATTGCAGAGCCCCACATCAGCCTGAAGGCAGGTACGGACCAGCCTGGCACGCAGAGGCAATGCTTGTGGGGAGAGCAGGAGGAAAGTGCACCCAAAGCATCTAGGGAGAGTTATTTTGGTAGAGACACAGTGATGGTGCAGCCTCATGCCTGCCCTATCCGGCTCCCTGCAACTGCTCCTTTAAAAAACAATAAACAGCTGAAAAAAAAAATATCACAATTGCTACATGGGAGACACCCATCCATCGTCTTTAGGTGAAAGAGAGACAAGTCAAGAAGGGAAGAGAGGGGGGAGGAAAAACCCAAACCAAACAAGAAAGCAAAAAGAAAGAGGGATGGAAAGGTAGAGGCGGGTGGCCAGCAGCCAGCATCCGCTCCAATAAATCCTACGCTCCTTGAAACTGGCTGATCTCCAATAAAAACTCATTTTAATCTAAGACCACGAGACTCCTTTGGAAAGTGCTCCCTGGAGAGGCCCCTGTGCTGTGAAATACTCTTTATCCACCAAGCTGCTCGTGGGGGAACAAGAGGGGTGATAAGGCTGCAGGAGCCTCATGTACAGCTCCCCACACGTACTGGGGTAAGACTACACAAAAATGGGGTCCCTGCACCCGCTGGGTGCCCCAAGACCACAAGCAAACAGTGTCTACCTGGCATTAGGCTACGGGGACAAGCATCCCTTTTTGGGTGTCATCATTGATCAGCATCTGGGATGGGCGTTCTGTCCAGGGACTGGACCCTGCGATGCTCCATGCTTACAGCATCCCACCCAGGATGGTTACATCCACTTCCCCATCAACTCCGGAGTTTATTTCTTAAACTCTTTGCATTCATTTAAGCCCCCATCGCTTGCTAACCCAGTGTTATTTCCTCAAGCAGAGAGAGCAGCCCCGTTCCACCTGACCCCTTCAGCGCCCTGCAAGCCCCCAAGCTTTAAACTCAATTTGCTGCAGATTCTAATTAATTACCATTATAAAATATATAAACAAATAATTTTAAATTAAACACCAACTAATTACAGGTCTAAGACCCTCCATCGTGAGCCACCTCAATCCCCAGCTCTGCTTCTCTCCTCACTGCCCTGGGAAACTCCCCCCCAGGACACACACAAATTGGGATAGTTCAGTTTAAAGCAATTACTTAGAAAATCATCAAGGGAGGAGCAGGGATCTGTCAGCAGTCCTACAGGCAGGCTAAGGGTTGTTTTGCCCTTGCCCATTGCCCAGGACATGCCAGCGGGGACAGGAAAGGAAGCAAAAGGCAATGGGAAGGGAAGGTAAAGGAAGAAGAGAGTTAGCGGAGGGGAAAAGCCAAATTAAGCCTTGGCACGAACAAGGCACAAGATAAACAGCTGGAGGCAGATTGACGGAGCAGTAAAGAGTTTTCTACAAAGCAGTTAATGTTTTAATAAAAAAAAAGTCATTTTTCCTCTCGAGCTCTAAACCAGCTCTCCTCTCTTTCTGCCCATCTTCAGCATGGGACCTGACCTCCAGGCTGGGCAGGAGGAGCCGGAGCACTGGGACCTGAGCCAGGAGCCAGCGGTCCCAAAACCAAGGAGCATCTCAAGCCCCGTGCATCTCGCAGAGGAAATGCGTACAGGGGGAACTCAAGGGGGTCAGTGGGGCACGGTTCAGAGCTGGAAGCAACCCAGGCATGGTGCCCACATCATCCTCGTGGAAGAGGGGGAGCTCCCCGTGGCTGCCTGGCTGTCTCTGCTCCCCCAGCCTGGCTATTAGAGAGGAACTGGACCCAGAAAATAACAAAAACCCGTTTAAAAGCAATGAGATTTTTAAAAAAAAAGAAAAAAAAAAGAAAAAAGTCCATTTGCATTTTCTTCTTTACAGTTCCCAAGACTTCAGAGATGCCTCCAACCCACAGCCACAAGCCCTTCCCCACACTTGCAAGAGCCAGAAACACATTTTTTTCCCCCTTTTCCACAACTCCCGGAGATGGGAATTTCTCATGAGCCTGCAAAAGCAGCACAAGCCGACGCGCCAGTGAGGAACGAGCAGGCAGCGGCTGCAGATCCCGGGCAGGGAGAGCAGCTCCGAAGGTGCCCCTCTACAACAGGATCTGGGTGCATCCCGGCTGGCGGCAGCCGCAGATGCCGCGCTCGACACCAGATGGGGAATTTGGCATCGTCGGAGATGCTGCTGAGACCCGCGGGAAGCGTGGAAAGCTGCCCAAGCTGTTGCCACCCCGCTGCTGCAGGCGGGGAGATGCCATGGTGGGGGGACATCCCCCACGCAGCCCCCGGCCAGCCCAGGGACCAAGGGCTGGGGGTGTCTGGGCTGTGGGCAGCAAACGCAGCCATGGTAGAGGTCACGTGCAGAGGGACCAAAGCTGGAAATCTTGGCTTTCCACTCCAAAAAATACATACCTGGGCCATTTTCAGGCTCCCCCAGCCCCTGCCCCAGGGTGGACTGGGGGTGGCATGGGGTTACACCGCACCAAGGCGGTGACATGGGGCTCAGAGGTACCGAGAGCCATTCGATGTCCTTGTCCCTGCTGTGCTGTTAAAAACTCTCCTCACCCCAGGCAGCAGCAGGGTCCCACATCCCCATCCCCGAGCGACACCCTCCCCGTGGCCACGCAGCATCCTGCCTCACCGCGTTGAGGACTGACACAGCTCATCACACCTCACCAGCAGGCACAGCAACACCCTGCCCGCACAACCAAGGACAAGTCAAGCCTAAAACACCGCAGGAATTAAACCAGGAGAAGCCATGTGGTCTGGCTCTGGGGTACAGGACCACGAGGTGGGTTGGGGGCAGGGGTCCCCGCGGACACGAGCGTGGCCCCACTGGGGACCGGGACTCACCGTGAGGCAGGTCAGCCGTCAGATGCGGCATCATATAGCTGCGGACAAGCTCCCACCCGAAGTCATCATCCTCACCCTGGCTGTACTCGCACTGGTTTGGGTCGCCGTCCTCCTCGAAGGTGCAGCCGGCTGTGGAGAGAAAGACCTGTCAGCCCCCGCTGAGACCCCGCAGAGCAGCTGGTCCCACTCCAAAAGCCCTGCCAGGATGGTGTGCTACCCCCCCAAAAACATAGGGGGACCCCAGGCACCCCCCCATGTGCACCTGTGAGCAAGGGTATGGTCCTGTCTGCTGCTAATCCCCCATCTCTCCCATTCAGTTCCCCCACCAGTGAAACGAGCTGGCAGGTCTCAGTTCCCGGGGAGGTCTCAGCTGCAGAAGCAGGATGCAGCTCCCAGCTTTGCTTCCCAGGGGCCAGTCACCAAACAAGGGGTTTCTCCCAAGAAACAGGCACTCGAATGCAGCAGTCTCACGAGGATTTGCAAGACCCCAGGGGCTCCTGCAAAAATCCTGCTTTGACCTCAGCCCTCCACCTTTGACCTTGAGCTCTTGGGGGTCTGTCCATTGCCTGACATGACAGCAGCAGGTCTCAGCCAGGACCTCCAACAACCCACAGCAATCACACCCCTACAAATGCATCACTAAACAACTCCCCCCCAGCCATGGGCTGGCACTTCTGAGCCCTCCGATTTATCTGTTGGGGATTTGGGGTTGTTTTTTATCTTTTGCAAAGAGCAAAGGCAAAAGCCACACACCACCTCCCCGGTCTGCAAGGTGCTCGGCTGAGCACAGAGAATCGGAATAAATGCCCAGAGGCCACTTGTCCCCACACATACTGAGGTGACACAGAGACAGCACAGAGACACCAGCTACCCCCCCCATCCTGCATCCAGCTCCCCATCCCACATCCAGCCCCCCCACATCCCACATCCAGCCAAACCCTGGAGCTCTGGGGCTGGCTTTGCCCATGAGGCTGTTCCAGACTGGTTCTTTAACACTGACCTATTGTTCCGTTAAACCCACAGATTACACGAGGACCAGGGCACCAGCGCTAATTAATACGAGCCGCTGGGCTGACAAGGGCAGGCACGTTAAGAAAGCCCTGAGCAAGCAGAACAAACAAAGGCAAATATGCCCTAATGGGCCAGCATGAAAGCAGAGCTGGGCCAGGGGATTATTTCTTCTGGTTTTTTTCCTATTTTATCCCCAAATTACATCAGTAATTCCCCCCGCCACCCGGGGATTTGCCAGTTAATGGCCTCACTGCTGCCGGCATGGGTTGTGCTTCCCCATGCCGGAGGATGCTCAGATGCATCGCTTGTGCAAACATGAGTCCAAACACTGGAAAAAAGCCCATAAAATGCCCAGAAAAATATGATTCCCAATTCTTTCACGTGGAAGAACATATCTGGGGCTTTTTCCTCCCTTTACACTCAGTTTTTAAAGCGCAAGGGCACACTCCAGCTCCATCACCAAGTTTTGGGTTTTCTTCCTCTCAGAACCACAAAAAATTTCTTTTTAAAAAAAACTAAAAGCAAATTCTCTCCTATTCATATGCCTGGAGGCACCAGGACCTCACAGTTTTCTTAAATCCTTCCTGAAATGGAGCGTCTGCCCAGCCTACGTGCGGATGCACCCCCGCACCACAGACCCCGGTCCTCAGCTCCTTCGGCTCCCGCCATGAGCCGCACCAGATTTTAAATAGTCTGAAACTTGGCTGCGCTTTCTAATGGGAGAAAAAGCACAAATCTGTCAAAATTTTCCAGGAAGAAAAAAAATTCAAAATAAAACAGTGTCAGAAACTAAAAAAAAAAAAGCCCAAGTGTTTATTTCCAAGATCTACTGAAATGGGATATTCTGGGAGGGAGAAATTTGTTCTTAGTGTTGGGGTTTTTTTTGGTCTGAGAAACCAGAGGGGAGACAAACAGTGTTTCAGGCTGGCAGAGCCCCATTTCCCAGGGAAAAGTGATTCCTTCACCCTCAATAAACTATTCCCAGCCACTAATGACATCGAGGGAGACATAACCTGCTCCTCCTGGGCTGCATCTCCACCACCCCCATCCCGCTGCCATCCCCAGTGCAACCACTGGCACCAACTGGCCTCGTGCCTCAGTTTCCCCACTGCTCCCTCACCCCAAGGCCAGATCCTCAGTCACCTGCGAGACGATGCCCAAGCTCCAGAAGCTTAAAATGCAATTACGTGGAGTAGATATTTTGCTGGCAGAGGCACAGCTGGCCGAACCGATCCGTCTCCCTCCTCGGACAGGTTTATTGTTATGACTTTTCCCTGCACAAGCCTTCCCTCCCCTCCGCTCCCCCCATCCACAGCGCAAAACGAAGGTGGCTTGACCAGCCGCTCCATCTCGCCAACAAATTTGTCTATGATTTGTATACACAGGGAAAAAATAAAAAAGGTTTTGCAGAGCCTTGGTTTCCATGAGCTATGGGATGATTATGGCACCATCTCTCCCCATGCAAGGGTAGGGCTGGGGAGAAGCTCAACCTCCAGCCCCCTCTCCCTCCCCATCACAAGATTAATAGGGTCATAAAAATTAACACCTGAGCAATTAAATGCCAACATCCCAGTTCCAGAGGGGGTGGCTGTGGGTGCCCCAGCAGCTGTGGAAAGTCAGAGGGGGTAAACTCAGAGTGGCTTTCGAAAAACTAAGGTTTCATCATGTTTGCAAGGAGGGCAGGGAGACTGCAACCTGAAATACCAACCTGCAGCACGGGGATGGTTATACCCACCCTAAGGGCTAACGGCAGTGGGACGGGGTCTGTGGGAGCCAGCTGGGACCGCTCCGGGTCCGGATGCACCCTAAAAAAAAAAATCACCAGGCGGAAACAAGGAGCCCCCAGTTCCCAGCCCCTGTGCTGGCTCGAGGCCAGGGTAACAGCAGCTCCAGGCGGTGAGATGAAGGCAGCGAGCGCAGGAGGTGCGATTCAAACGCAAGAGTGGCTAAAAATACTGCCGGGGGCGTGACGGTCTGCTCCCGGGGGTGCGAGGCATCCGAGACGATATCTGAACACCCCAAAGTCACCTAAGCCCCCCCCCCCCCAAAAACAAACCCTGCCCCAACATAAAAGCTCCCCGCTCCCACGGAGAAAACATACCCCCGAAACACCCCACGTGAAATCCCTGTGGCACCGTGGTGTACCCGGGCAGAGGGGAGGAGGAATGAGTGCTAACATGGGGGTTAAACACCGGATGGACCAAAATTTTAAAAAAGGAAAGAAAGAGAGGTGGCTTGAGGGATTTGCCAGGGAGACGAGTACTGATGCTGCTCAGCATCCCCCCTGGGTACTGCTGCCGCCCAGCATCCCTCCTGGGTACCGCTACCACCCAGCATCCCCCTCCCCAGGGACGGAGAGGAGGAAAGCCAGGGAGAGGAGGAACGAAGGATTCGCAAAGAAGAGGGAGGAAAAGAAAGACCAACCAAGTACAATGGACGGCATCTAATTAAATCTCCGTGGCCACCGAGGAATGTGGCCGCCTGCCCACCAGCCCGCCCAGTGCTCTTTCATCCACCAAGTCTATGCTCCTCTCACTTCAAAGTTAATTACACACTTAAACCTTTTCTGTTTAACCTCCTGCACTGTGAGACAAGCTCCACAGGCTTCTCTTTTCTTTTATCCAGCAGCCTTGAAAAGGCTCCCGCGCTAAAGGGCGGCCCTGCACCATCCGTGATGGGATCGCACACTCCCGTACCCCGAGGGGGATACCAACACTGCCCAGACCCTTCAGGGCATTATCTGATGGGGATGCTACATGAATAACATACTAAAAAGTGGAAAGGCTTTATTAAAAAAAAAAAAAAAAGGTTTTATACCCAAACTTCAGCAAGCACAGGCTCCCCAGACCTATGAAACTTGGGGCGGGCACCCAAGACTCCCAGTCTGGGACAAAGCAAAGCCAGTTGATGGGAAAAAGCCCATTTTGCTCCCATCTTGACCTAGCCAGGACTGGATTAGCCCCACAGGCGTTTCTGGGATGCAGCAGCTTGGGGGCACAAGCCCCCAGCACCCCACACACAGCACAGGCACCAGCCAGGAAAGCTAACACAAGTGACCTTTTGGAGTCAGGATTAATTTTTCATCCCTGGCCTTTTCCAGCAGCTCCTGGAGCACCAAAGGATCAAGTTCCTTACACAGGATAAATGGTTAATGCTGCTGCTGCAAATGGGGAAAATGAGGCACACGGGTGATTTGGTGAAGTCCCGTAACACCAGCAGCCAAGCATCATCCCCCAGGGACGGCGGAAAGCCCAGGGAGCCAGGGTTTGCTGGGATGCAGAACCCCGCTCCAGCGGATGCCAGCATCCCTTCCGCGGCACCCCTGCGGAGCCGAGCCAGCCTCCCACCTCCCAGATCCCGGCTGCTATTTAAAGACAATTTCCTCGGCACGCTCCTACGGGAACGTGCCCTGGGAAGGAAATGCCGGGAGCCACTTTCCTCCGGGCGCCAGCAGACACGGAAGATAGGGAACACGTATTGCAATTCATCTAAAATTAGATACACTTTTTATCCAGCAAGATCTCGTATGCACCATACCACAGGCTCCCGGTCAAGGTTATTAATGGATAAGGGATCAGAAACCCCATTTCTATCTGCGGGGGGGCTCAGACTCAATGCTATGGGGGTCCAGGACTCGCATGGAGGGGGGATGTAGCACCACGGAATCCAGCTCAGCGAGAAAACCAAGACACAAAGCAGGTCCTGCACCACAGCATCCCAGCATCTCACACCGATGGAGACCCCCACCGCACAGAGCGCCCCCCACCAGCTCCACACCAACACCAACCAAACCCAAACACCCCAGGATTTTGGTCTCAGCAGTGGAAAAACCTCTTCTAGTCCAGGTAAAGGGGAGCTAAATCCCCGCTTCGCTGCACACTCAGAGGGCCTGGGGCACAAGCGCAACAGGCACCTGCAAGTGTTTTTGTCCATTACACACACTGGAGATTACAATAAATACCCTCCCCCTGCTCCTCTGTTCCCCACTTCTGTGAAATAGAAATGTTTAAAAAAATATTACTGATTTCCTGGCCCTGATAAAAGCTGATTAGAAGAATATGGAAAGCAGCTCCATTAAAATTCTCACCAGTAGTTTGTTTTGCTTCTCCAAATCATTT